AAATGGGCATCTGGGCTGGGGGGTGTTGGGGAACCAGCAAGGAAACCAGGCTTGGAAAGAGCAGGAGCTGGGAGCTGGGAGCCTGCACATCTCTGGCTGGCAGCGGCAGGAGTGAGAGATGGGGCTGCTGCTGATGTGAATCACGGCGCCACTTGTAGAGTGCATTCATCCTCAGTGTGAGAAGGAGGAAGAATCGAGTCCTTTGTAAGGGGCTGAGACAAATTTTTCAGCACAGAAACCAGGCAATCCAGAGATTGCTCAGTGCTTTGTTTATGTGGGCACTCTTTGGGGGGCATTCTCAGCTGAAGAAGATGCCTGTACTGAAGGCACATTTGTACTCACAGAGTCCAGTTGTGTTCTCTTTCTTTGGTGTGTGGAATATTCCTGCTGAAGTCAATGTCCTAGATTAGCAGGAAACAGATAAATTAAGCTGTTAAAACCATGTAATAAGAATCTGAGTGTATATGCAAGTTTCAAAACCACTCAGTAAATATAGATACACATGTTTTAGTGAAGTAATGCTTTATTCTTGAAACTATTTTTAAAGTATTTTGGACACAGTGCACATTTCATACTAGAAAATGCACAGCAGTAGTATTAGACAATGGGGAGGAAATGAGGAGAAGGTTTAGAGGGATTTATCCCTCTAACAGGATTTCTAGGGTCAGGCATTCTCTCTTTATCTAATTTAGGAATTAGTTTTACAAGGATACTTATTTAGAAAATATTCCTAAATATGCTTATATAAGTATAAAAATCTCTATTGGGAGGTAGTTTACCAGGATTCTGGGGGAGAGGAGAGAGAGATACTTAAGAGTCTGAGACTCTTCACTCATTTTTTTGTACAGGAAAAGATGCACAAACAAAACATCAACATTACTTCTGTGGTTATGGATAAAAAATTGAGCTTTGAAATAGAGTAACTATCCTAGAGAAGTGCACTTACATAGCCTAACAAATAACAGGCTTGAATTAATGGGGTTTTTTTTAATGTTGTTGCATTTGTATTTCCTCTGTGTGATTTCACTGTCTCTCTTGAAGAAGGTGTTGCTGTGAATATTGAAATGTTGGTATTCAGGTTAATTATTTGCTTGGTGAGGACGTATTGTCCTGGCTCTGTAATTCTATATAGCCAGCCATTGGACAGGGAGCCATTCATTGCTGAGCACAGGAGGAAAATATGAGACTGTATTTTTGCTTAGTTAAATTTAAAGTAGCAGCTAATATGTAATTTCCTGGCACTTCCCTGTCATTTTTGATGGTTATACACAATGAAGAGTTTTCTCCCTTCTATTGAATTTTTGAGGAAATTAAATACCTTCTCAGTAAATTGGAGAATTCACTCTCAATTACAGCACTTAAATATTGTCAGTCTAGATCGGATTTCTGTAATTACAATATTTTACCTCTAGAGCTGTAATACATAACCTATCTGTTGAATTATCAAGACAAGAAAAGGTAGAAAGTTCTGTTTTTCAGAAGGTGTAAGGTTTCTCTGCTCATGTCATGGGAGTTCCAGTTTGTAAATGAGTTGTTCTCAGTTGCTAGCATCCACGTCTATAAGAGGATTTCTTATGTCATGGTACCTAAGGCATGTGTGCTCTTAGACATTGATCCCATCTCATCAAACATTTCTTCTTCAAAATACCATAGCTAATATCTCTCATTGTATTGAAAATGTTACCTTGAGAAAACCACATTTTGATTTCCTCAGTGCATGCATTTTAAAATCTGGATAAGGTGAGATTTTTTTAAAATGTGATTCATATTATAAAATTCTGTTTGGCCTTTAGTGTGTTTATTGCATATGCTGTTGGTATCTATCCATCTATAAACCTAATCTTTCAGGGTCTCAGAAATTGCTTCTCATCCTTATCTACACATATTTTGATTTTCAGATATCTTCCCAGAATGTATTAAGCATCTAGCATTAGCTTTTAATTTTGTACTTTGTGAGTACAGTCTCGCTTATTTCTTGCTCATGAACCCGAGTCACGTTTCCCTCATCCCATTCCTAGGTTTTCATGGAGCTGGCAGCTCACAGAAGTAACTGCAGGAGTTAATGTCTTGTGTGTATTCCCAGACACTACACCCAGCACCTGGTGCAGCCTCTCCTGCATGACAGCAGCCCTGATGAGTGAAATTACATCAGTGTAGGGGAATATTGTGGTCAGACACAGAATATTGTGGTCGCCAGGGTTCCACTGACTTTCCTCCCAGTCACTGCTTGTGTGCTATCACCAGGGCTTCCCTGTGTTTTTGTCATTCCCAAATCATTCAGTGGTTTCTGGATGTCTCACCCACCATAAAAACATTGCAACGACCTAAAGGCTGCTTTGAGGTGCTTGAATGCAGACAGACATGGTGTGGGTGAACAGAGCAATCACCACAATCTGGGATTTCTTTTTTGTAGCAAACTTTCGGTCCTGGGGAAAAGGCCGGTGTTAGAGATGGAGGTTCTTCAAGAGCTTGGCATGTTAGGTGTGCTTAGATTTCCTTGTGGTCTTTATACTTCCCCTAAAATATGTGTGTTGTATCACCTAGTTTTCTGTCTAAGCACTACCCTACCCCTAACCCAACATCATGGGATTCCAGATCACAAAGATGCAGGAGCAGCAATGCTGGGGCTCTGCTGGGGTAGCCTTGCCTTTTCCAGCCCCAGTTTTCCTGAAGCTGCAGGCTCTTTGACTCTTTCAACCCTAACCCCTACCCTAACCCTAAAAATTACCTGGAAGTTTTCTGCTTGACATTTACTTACAGCTGTTTATTCACTTCAAAAGCAAAGAAATTAAAAGGAATGAGACTGCATATATGTGTGCCAGGTATTAATACCAAGAAATGCACAGAAAATTATACCTATTTCCAAAAGCACTTTTGCTCTTTGCCGCTGGTGTTCTCCAAAATGTTTCTTTCTTTCTGTTATTTTTGACAAAGTAAAAATTTGACAAAGCAGTCAATTACTGCTTTGCACATGTCCTGAGGCTGAAACCACCTTGGCTGTCGGTAACACAGCTCAGGCCCTGAGTATGGAATACAGAATCTCATTTTTAGGCAAATAATTTGCACATTGAGCTGTTGTGGATTTATGGCTTGGATTTCCTGGCTGCATGTCTGTTCAGGATGCTACACAGTGTTCAGGGAGCTGGGGTCTCAGTCTGTCCAGCTCTCCAGCTCTGAGAACCTCAGCAGCCACACTCCATCTTCTGCTTAAACACAGAGCCTCACTCTTGGAAGAGCCAATCATATGAAGCCTTTTCAGTGTACCTGGCAGAGCTTTCAGTCATCTTTCAAATACAAATTGCTTGCAAAAGAAAGCAGTGCCATTTTCTCCCTGCTGGCTTTCTGAAATGTCATGTTGGGAAAAGCACTTGCCACGTCTTTCATATGAAGAGAAAGCTTTCAGTAATGACTGGTGTTTCTGAGTCTGTTGCAGCCAGTGCAGCTGTTGGAAATGTCACTGTGTATGGCACAAACAGGGGGCATTTTGAGCAAGACCATGCACTAACTGATTTTGGTATTAGTTGAAAAATAATTTAAGAAAAGCAATAGGATGTTTGAAGAATAGACAACCTTTTAGATGTAAATGCATAAAATAAGACAAAACCAGAAAAATAGTTTTATTAGTTCTTGAAGTCATCAGTAAAAATACATTATTCACAATACTAGCTGGAGATCTTTGAATTTTGCAGAGTCTGTGATTGAATTTCACATATCTATGGGTAGAATTTTCAACAATCAGGCCAACAGTAATATTCTTGCACTGAAGTGCTGGAATAATTCTTTGGCAGAGTACGTTGAGAGGCTGAAATGTTCCTCATGTTTTCCAAGTAAAGTTTTTACTTTTACTACTGCCCAAACACCTCTGAGTTCAGTTTTTTATCATTTTTTACTAGCTATGATGAAAATATAAATACTATCTTTTTCTATAATTAGATGTGGCTGTGAATAATTCTGACAATGCATTGCCCCACATCCCTGCATGAGTTTCCCATCTTCGTCACCTGGCCAGAGTTTGGGAGCTTTCCTCCCTTTCTTAGGCTTTTGTTTTCATTAGCTTTTTGTTTTCTCCTTTGGTTCTATCTCTCCTTATCTATGTTCAATTTTTTTTTCTGTTCTGTTTCTTTCCTTCTTCTCTTACATCATGTCGATTTTTTCATTTTTTACCCAGTATTTTTTCTCCACTTACTGGGCTTTTTTCGTTTGTTCACTTTTGACTTGGGTCTTATGTAAGTGCAAGAACACCTAATGTTTCTGAATTCTAAATTTCACGGAATGCTGAACTATAAAGTTGCCTTGGGAACTAAGGGGAGACCTAAATTTAGAACCAGTGATTCTTTTTGGGGTCAATGGTCATGTGTTAGTCTTCCATACATACTTAGAAAACATCTTCCCAAGAAAACTGCAGGGTCTCAGCTGGGAAACTGGGAAGAATTAAGAACAGAAAATGCAGTTTGCTTTTGTGTCCCTTTTGCTGTGGCTCATCAAAATGTTAATTGTTTCATTTCAAAGAAGTTGCTGTTTTAAATATGTGTATACATATGTGTATATGCATCCAGCATCTATAAACCTTGCAGAGATTGGCTGTGTTTAGTGCTTGAAAAGTGGTTTAAGGATGAATATGATTTCTGCTTGTGTTTAAGTCACTGACAGATATGAATAGGGCCATTATGTTAACTGTGGGCATTGCTGGCTTCTTAACTGAACCTTGGAGCACTTGATAGCTTCAGGTGGTTTGTGCTGTCAGCCTGCTAGCACACACAGCGGTGATGCCAGCCACTCTCTGCACCATGCTATTAGTGCTCATTCACCTGAGGAATTTCATCCCTTCCCAATGCTTTCCATCACTGACATCCAGACTTGCATAACTGTACCCCACTGGCTGCTGAGGACCCCTCTGAGCCTTTGTGAAAGGCTGTTCAGGGATGGGCTGGTACTGGAGCACACAAAACACTGATCAAATGGGTCCTTCACTGAATAACTCGTGCTTATTTTCCATGCAGGGAATAAATCACAAGATAGTGGGATTGCAGAGATGGAGGAGCTTCCAGTCCCACACAACATCAAAATAAGTAACATCACGTGTGATTCCTTCAAGATTTCTTGGGACATGGATTCTAAATCCAAGGATCGCATTACCCATTACTTCATCGATCTCAACAAGAAAGAAAACAAGAATTCCAACAAATTCAAACACAAGGTAATTTTAATTTAAAAATCAAGGCACAAATGCTTGATTTTAAGCAAATGAATCTCTATGTTTTATTAACCTTTCAAAGCCAGGCCATGGGAAACAGGAATTGATATCCAGAAAAGGTGGGTTTTGATTAATCTGATGGGATTTTGGTTTACTCAAAGTACCCTCTCTGCCTCCAGCCTATGTGCATGTACACACAACTACATTTGTTTCACAGAGAACTGCACATTGCCTTTTCTGTTCCATTTGAAAGCACTTTTGGAACCTCTACAATGTAGTGCAAGACTGCCATTTTTATTCCTGACTAGTTCTTTATCATTATTTACAAAATGTGTGTATTCCCTGCCTGTCCTTGTTCAGTGACAGACTCCTGAGAGCAACACAGCTCATTTCAACAGAAGAGCCACAAATTCTAATGCTCTCCAGGAAGGCTTCCAGCAATTTTAGTTTGCAGCATTCAGCACTGTGACCTGAATATTCATCTGGCCTCTTTCCTCAAGCCTCTGGTGCAGGAACATATTGGAGGCATTGCAGGATCTGCAAATGCCTTACTTACCAAATCCAGCAAAATTTTCTTTTACCTCAGAACAGTTGAATTACTGAGATGTCCAGAGAAACACTGAGACAGAACATTCCTCAAATTTAAAAATAATGTTGGCATTCTCTAAAAGATAAGGTTTGCCAAGGCACAAATAACTGTCCAAACAAATGTAAGGGCTGTAATTTTCTCAGCACCTAAATAATTGTTGGTTTCTAAGCCGATGAGATAAACAGAAGATATTCCCACCAATTTCTCTGAGGCTTTTTATTGTGAGAGTATTTTTTATGAGATTTTTATTAATGGTAGGTGTATAATTTTCTTATTTGACCTTTTTTGCTGTTGTTGTTTTTTTGAGTTTTTCTGGTTGGAAGTAACATATGCAGTAAGAGTAACAAAAAATCACTATTTCTTTAAATTGAGAATTTTACATGTTTGGCCAGGTTGTTGCAGTTGCTAGGAACCAGTGTGTGAAGCACTACTAAACTTAATGTTATAATAGGCATGTATTATGCCCCATTTTTAATTGTAACAGCAAATAAAATAGGGTACTTGTGCTTTTTTCTTACTCTCACTAATTTTGGACTGACAGCCTTTGAATTGAAATTCCCATTTTACACTGCAGGAATAAATATACTCTCTAAAGTGGGATGGATTCTTTCTAATGTCAGTTATTTTATTATTCTACATGTTTTTTCATTCATGTGCTAACTGGTGTATATTTGGAACATTTATTTTTGTGAAAAGTAGAGCCATCCTAGTAGAGCAAACACCACATACACTTCAGAATCTTTATCCCAGCAATGAGACTAGACTTACAATGGAAGGGGGGAAGGATATTGGTAGTATAATAAAGAAAAGCTATTAGATTTATTTTGTGTTTCTCAGCAATTCCCTAGCTTTTTATTGTGCAGCAGTGTTTAGTCAAAGGACAAAGGTAATTGGTTTTGTAAGAACAGGAGACTAAAATCTATCCATTAAAATTATGAATAATTTGGATGTCTTGTCAGAATTAACTAAAAATTGATTGCTACTAATTTTGTTAGTGACTTGGTTAAAATTTTTTTGTGTGATTTTTTGATGGTTTTATTCCCAAGCTTGAATGACAGAGATCCAGAGAGTAGAGAGAGATTGGACAATAGTAAAGCACAGACTGAATACTCAGCTCTGTGCCAGAGCACTTGGGTGTTTGCTTTCATGCATCTTTAGTACTAATCAATTTTTAGCACACCTTCTAGAATGAACTTGGGTTGATAATTGAAGGGCTCAGATTCCAAAGGTTTAACCCAGGTGGGGTTCAAGACAAGCAGCCTTCCTCCCTCTAAGGCTGGCCATAGGAGTTTCCCAGCTGAAGCTCAGCAGCAGGAGCTGATGGCCCAGCACTGAATCCTCACAGCTGGGAACTGACTCCAGTCCCCACCCATCTCATTACTTCCTAAAAAAGCTTTTGCATAAAGGAGAGGAATAGCACTGCCCTATCTCCTAGCAGAACTTTTTTAGAGAGAAAACTGTGAGCTCTATTGCCTAGGTATAAAACAGAGCATTGGGATTTGCTCCTAGGAGTCACCCAGCACCCTGGCCTGTGCAAGGAGAATTCATCCTTACCTAGCTTACAGGTAGGGTAAAGCACTGCAAGTGCCCATCTCTCTCGCAGGTGTTAACACCAGGGACCAGCTTACTTTCTAACTTATATAGAATTAACATTAAGTATCAGTTTGCTCAGATGGCTTTAAGTTACTTGGGATATAGACTTCACCTGATAGATCCATGCTGTACCTCAGGAAAGGGAGCTCTGTGTTTTCTTGTGTACCAGGGAATGATTCAACCTTCCAATACTGTTTCTCTTGGTAAATATATAAAGTATATTCAGCATACTTAGGGTGCATGAAGTGTTATTATTTTTGACTATCATCATCATCTCTGTGAAAGAGGTTGGTATTGATAGTGGTGTGCAAAGACTAGAATTGTAATAAGAAGATTTTTGTCTTTTCAATTCATTTTTCATACCTCCTCTCTTTTAAATATGGAAATATGATTACTCCCATGTAATAAGAAAAATATTCAAATATTTAGCAAAACTGGGACTAGAATCTGGATGTGCTGAGTTCCCACAAAGTTGAAGACTGAAAGCTCCCTCTTTTCCTAAAAAGGAGAGTAGAGTGACTCATAAACATTGCTGCTTAGTTATTCAAAGCTCCCAGGCTGTTCTTAGAAATTCCCATGTAATAAGAGTAATATTCAAATATTTAGCAAAATTGGGACTAGAATCTGGATGTGCTGAGTTCCCACAAAGTTGAAGACTTGAAGCTCCCTCTTTTCCTAAAAAGGAGAGTAGAGTGACTCATAAACATTGCTGCTTAGTTATTCAAAGCTCCCAGGCTGTTCTTAGAAATTATTGCCATCTAGGTAGCTTTAGAGCTGTCTGGTGGGTGCTGGTAGTGGAGCAGCCATCTGCCACTCTAGAATCCTGGCTCTCCTTGGGCTGGCACAGTACCTGCTTTGCACTTCTTTGGTGGCTCAGCCAGGAATGAGAGCTGGGCAGAAGAGAGATGAAAGGGAGAAGTGGAGAATCCCCAGACGAACCTCAGTGTGAACATTGGAATATTTCTTCTGCATTGTGGCCTTTAAAAAAAATGTGGTGTTTGCTTAGGAAAAAAACAGCAGATTAGAGTTGTGAGAGGCATCACATCAGCCCCTCCTCTCCAGCTGTGCAAGACATAAACCCCTCAAGTCTGTGGTCCTCTGCCCCTTTATTTTTACCTTTTTTTTAATTTTTTTTTTTTGTAGTCTCTCCCTTTTTTGATATGGTTAAAAGAGGTAGCTGATGCACAGCTGGAGGGTAAAGCTTTGACACTTCGGGCAACAAGGCTTCTAATGTTACATGAAAACTGACAAAATTAATGGTGAAAAGCCACCACTGGGGTGTGAGCACAGAGATTTGACCCAGGTGGAAGCTGTTTTTACCATAACCCAAGAACAGGTGACAGGAAGACCAATGATGTTAACTGTGGCACCTGCTGACTGCATTAGCAGTAGCAGACTCTGTCCAGTAGGATGCCTTTCAGGGTGGTAGCTTTAAATGTCATTTGGTGTTCTTTTTTTTTTTTTCTTTGTAGTTTTTCTCTACATATTATGAACTGCAGCATGCACAACTCTCTCCTTTTCAGATAAAGTTTTTATCCAACTATTATTTGATTTAGATGAGAATTGACAAAAAAGAAATCCTGACAACAAAATTTTACCCTGGATTATCACTCAATTACATCAATTATTGTAATATCTCAAGCTGCTAATTTTACACTTGCTTAATACAGAAACTGAAGATAAATTTTTTTGTTGATAGGAAAACAAAAGGGAAAAGATCTTTTTCCCATAACAGAAGACAAGGGGGAAAAAAATCCTTTAGATCTCTAGATCATGATCCCTTCTATTCCTTTTTTCCTTTAAAGACTACTATGCTATAGGACTACTATAGTAGTCCATCTACCTGTAGTCCTAGTATAGGACTACTGTATATAGGTAGATGATTGTGGATTAGTATTTGTAGGTGGACAGTTAAGGATGTCATTTAAAGTGCCCACTTTTCACATGGCAGGTGTCTTACTATTCTGTTATTACTGGTGAATATTCAATAACAAATATCTTTCAATTTATCACAGCTCCTCAGCTACACTTCAGAGAATCATTGAACTCCCTTGTGAGTCCTTTCCCTCACAGTTCTTCCATAAAATGTCCTGTTCTTCTATTTTTTCTGTCCTTTGGCGGTCTGCACCAAAGTCTTTGGTACTGTACAAATCAAGTATTTTAACTACAGCAAGCAGCTATTTTTCTTGGTTGCATCCTGGGGCTTTGATATCCAGGAAGAACAAAACAGAGGATCTAAAGGGGCAATGGAGGGGATAGCAAGAGGTTCAGCGGTAGGCTCAAGCTGTTTGGCTTCTTCTGGCCATTGCTGCACAGAACTGTATTTTGAAAGATGTGAACCAGCCATGGTTACTCTGCAATGTGTTTAATTTTGTCTGTTGAAATTTAGTTTGGAAGGTAGCAGCACTAGTGTAGCTGGACTGATTGACAGCAAGAGGAATTTTGTTTGATTACATTTGCCAAAAGAAACTAGTGAGAGCACAAGACTCTCTTAAATTAAGGTAGCTTTGTTCTCAATAGCATGTCTTTCTTTGCATATGTAAGCATAAATGATCCTAGAGTGAATTATACATTTGGGCTATGTATAATAGCATTACTCTACAGTCACTGGAACAAATAATTATTTCATACATGCAAGTTATCCCTTTGCCTCTTAGATCAGGCCTTATGCCACTGCTCACTTTGCTGCAGCAACAAACTGTGGGAAATAACTGGAGTTTGAAAAGAAGAGCCAGGGTTGGTGACTACGCTGCAAAAGCAGTGAAGGAAAGGGTGGCACGTTGGTTTGGGTTCGCTGCTGACTTGTGTGTCCTTTGGTGCTTTTGTTTGTGCCAGGATGTGCCCACCAAGCTGGTGGCCAAGGCAGTTCCTCTGCCCATGACGGTGCGCGGGCACTGGTTCCTGAGCCCCAGGACAGAGTACACGGTGGCGGTGCAGACGGCCTCCAAGCAGGTGGATGGCGACTACGTCGTGTCCGAGTGGAGTGAAATCATCGAGTTCTGCACTGCAGGTAACGCTGCTGAGGGATGCTGCTCCACGGGCTGGGCCAGTGCTGCCTCTACTGCCACACCGGGCTGGTCACCTGCCAGTGCCAGCTGTGCTGGTGGCCTTAAATAGTCACCTCTGGAAACTGGAATTCACACTTTAGGCTTTCTATGTGCTGAGGTTTGGCACGTTAAGCAGAGGCAGCTGGACTGCCCTTTTCTTGAGCAATAGTTTAGCTGTCCCAAAGTGCTGTGCCTGGCACCACTGCTTGTCCCAGGCTAGGAAAGGGCCACTTGTGTGCCAGTCACTGGCTATCAGCACCTTTGGGGAAAAGTAGAAGGGCAGCTCTCTGACAGCTTAAGACATTCTGCTGCTCTGCCTTCTCTGCATGCTGCAAAGCCTCAGCACCATCTACACCCCATCTTGAGCATCACTTTGGCCTGTCTGATTGATAAGGTTTCCTTTGGATGTTCATGACCTGCTGTCACTGTGCATGCCTGTGTGAAAGCTGAGGACTGAGGCAGGCTCAGTATGAATCCCATGTTTGTTGGGAAGCCATTTAAGCAGGGTCCTAAGCAAGCCTTGTTAGTACTGTCATTGGTTATTGGCTCACAACCAGGTGTGTAACAGTTTATCAACTGCTGTGAGCCAGAGAGGGCAGTCCTGAGCTCCTCTGCAGTCCTGAGCTGCACTGCAGTCCCACACACAGGGAAACCAGCTCTAACATAGGAAATCCTGAGCTGAGAGTTGCTGTAGGCTTGCAGAGTCTTTGTGAGGAAGGAGTGGGGAGAACCACAAACACCTGCTCCTGCCATTTGATTTGTTTGTTTCCACTGTTGAGAACTGGGGCGTGATGTGATGTGTATTATCAAGACTGTTCCTAGTTTTCAGTCTGTGTGTCTTGTGGCTTTTGGAGAGTGCTGTGGTTTTTCCTGCCTCCTGTACTAGCAGGTTGTCTTTCCTTTCCAGATTATTCAAAAGTTCACCTAACACAGCTATTGGAAAAAGCTGAAGTGATTGCAGGCCGTATGCTTAAACTGTCTGTTTTTTATCGGAATCAGCACAAAGAATACTTTGATTATATCAGGTAAGAAACAAAACATATTCAAAGTCCTTTGGCAAATTAAAGGACTAATGAAAATAAGTAAATAGAGACAGCTGTGCTGAAGCTAGAGCAGAATGTCTGTATGCTTTATAGCCCATTCAGAGGCAGGCAAAGAATAAAACACAAATTGTTTCTTTCACCTTGCTTAACTCAGCACCTCCATTAGGCAATAAAAGTCTGTGTTTTGAAGCAGAAACTGAGGTACTGATAGGGACTCCAGCTGATTAAAGCATCTGTAATCATAATTGAGAGTTTAGTAGCCAAATATTTCCACTGTACTGAGAAATTAAGAGTGAGGTGACTGACAGTAGGAGTGTGCAGCAGTGTGCACAGGCGTTTGCCTGCATGTAAGAGTTCCATCTCAAATATTTGTCTCCCATGTACAACCATCCTATTTCCATGCTCAAATGCAGTTATACAGACTCTGCAAGCTGAATGTTAATTTGTAGACCATGTGAGGAGGGAGAGGGCATTATGTTTGGGCAGTGTTAAACCACCATGCTTCAGCTGGAATGAAAAAACAGAATAGCTGGAGGTAGGTTCCCTGTTCTGTTGGAGACCCGGTGTGCCCTCCACACACGGTCAGAAGCATCAGGATAAGAGAAAAGCAGACTTTATGATAGAAGGAGTCAAAACTTGTGCTGCATGAGCAGGAACACAGAGTAACCTTCTCCTATTGGAAGAACATGGATGAAAGGTAAGCAGTGTGTTGGAAAGCTGCACCACTGACTGTGCTTCTTTAATATTCATCAGGAGATAGGGCTCCTGCTGGGCCAGATAATTTCAGTTTTGTGTGAGTGTCCCACTAGTACCTGCCTAGAATGGAAAGTTTTTAAAACAACCCAAGGCAATCCAGCTTCAAAGAACAGAGTCTACTATATTTGGAAACATTCCCATTTTGTAGTCTTGGGTATCTAATTTATTCCAGGAGTGTATTGGATATTGCAGAGCATGGACTTTCTCTTGCCATTCTGTGTTTTGGAAGGATTATTTTATTGCACATAGGGATACAGCTGCAAAACTCAGTAGAAGCAGAGAATAAATTGCAGTTGTTGAGGTTCTTTGAGACCCTCATAACCACTGCTGCCATCCTGGGCTAGATACCACAGAAGGGAAATGCCTGTGCTGTTCTGATCCTCACACTGCTTTGTTTTCAGCTATGTAATCATAGTGCATCTGACTTTGTGTTCATTAGTGTTGAAAATTGCCACTGAGTGCATTTATAGCTGTGGGTTTAGCCTTGTTCTGCCAAATGTGATTCTAATTGATTGCACTGTCTGTTCCTCTTCTTCCTGCTAAATTCTTTCTTGGTTTGACACCAATAGAGATGGGTTTGTTTTCCCTCTGTTAATAAGCTGGAGACAAAAACCTGTTTTACCAGGCCAGTGGGAAGCTACACTACCAGAACTGGCTGATGATCACCTCTTTTGACCAGAAATATACTAATACAGTCACAAGGGCTAATCCTTCCTCAGTACACCTGTCTGCATGTTATGTTAAAAGCCCTGACCATGTGCTTCCTATTAGGGGAAATTCCTTGTCATCCCATGCCTGCCATGGTCTCTGGTGTCAGCACACAGCCTGGAAAAGGTCTGGTAGCATTGGCATACAGGCAGCTGTTCCTGGTGCTAAAGCAGCCCCTAAATAGAGGGTTGAGGTGAGCTCAGAAGGGGTGTTTGTGTCACTGCAGCTTACCTGGGCTGGGACCACCAAAAGCAGCTCAGATTCCCCGAAAGGCCGACCTATAATTAGCCTAATTGGCCACTGGATGTCAGTATCTTGCCACAGAAATGGAACCCACTTCCTAAGAATTAAGCCTGACTTTTCAGGTTGCAGAGGTTTCAGGTGGCTATTTAAGCTTATTCAACCTTTTTTTTCTTCTTTTTTTTTTTTCTCCCTAGTAATCTCTTCGGTCATAAAATACTAATTATACTCCCCACTCCAATCAATGTCTTATGAAATAGGGCTTGAGACAATAGGTAGTATTTGAATGGCTCAGAAGACTTCTGAAATGCATCTTAGAGTATAATAAAATTGTGCTGCTGAGGAGATTACAAATAATGAAAAAACTAATCACAGCTGGGGATATTAATGAGTTTATTCAAAGCTGTTTTGTAATGTATATGCTGAGTTTGTTTGCTTTGACTGCTACCTCCCACTTTAACCAAGCAAAACCTTCTCCCACACAGCACCATTTCACATGGACCTGTTGCAAGTTAGAAGCAGAGAGAGAACAGACTTTCTTGGCTAGTTTCCCCTTTCCTAAAAGAAGGAAAAAAGAAAATAAAAGTAAAAGCAAAGCAAGAGGGGAATATAAGAATCATAATAATCTGTAGCCCCATGCAGCCTCATGCATTTTTAGTCTGTCATGTCAGTGAGTACAAAGACATTGTTATAAGGGTGCCTAGCAAATATGGTGTTTTACAGGACTTACAAAAGAGGATGGTTCCCTTTCAGGTATTATGTGGTTGCAGGTGCAGAGGGAGTCAAAGCTGCCACTGGAGCACTTGCAGAGGTGTGTGGGACACAAACACAGGGGAATGCCCTGCTAGACATAAAAATCTCAGGTGCTAAGGAATGTTAGAGGGGGTGTTTTGGAGTATTCTCCTAAATTTAGCAGCCTAATGCTGCTGAATGCAATTTGGGATTTGGGGATTTCAAAAATTCACTTGTTCGTTGTACATTTCTTTTCACTGGAATAAAATTGAGCTAAGTTAAAAAAAAAGAAAAAGTCTTTTTTTCCCCTTAGGACTAGTGACTGCAGAAGCTGGATACCAACCAAAATGGAAACTAACCAAATTGCCTAATTCTCTGTGCCCAGCTCTGCACTGATTGAAGTCAGCAGTAGACCAATTAGACTTGAAATGATCATTTGGGGACAGAAAATACTGGCAGACAGTACATTCTTTCCTATAACCTCTCTAAAAAGCATCCTTAAGAAATAACTTTCACTGGCAGTATTCTACTACATGAACTATGTACTGCCTATGCTAAAAATACATAGTAACAAACAGCATATTCAGCATATGGAGACTGACTTGCAATAGTCAAGGTGTTTATTGTTAGAAATGTAGTGTAAGTCTGAACAAATCAGCTAATTAAAGACATTTGTGATTTGGAGGCTTTTTTTGTTTGTGTGTTTGGGGTTTTTTGGGGTTTGTGGGTTTTTTTTGGTGGTTTTTTTTTTTTGTTTTTTTTTTTGCCCAGACAGCTGACAGAGAAGGCAGGCTGGAAAAGCAGATTTTTCCCCTTGAACAGGAATTGCTCTAGCTCTTCCCAAGTCTGATGGGACTTGATTTTCCTGGTCCTAAGATCCTGACACTAACCCTGTCTTTCAGTTTAATGGTTTTCCTTTGTGTCCCTTCAGTCCTGTTTCCAAACAGCATGATGTCCTAACTTTCCACTTTTTCTTTGCCATGTGTTACAAAATAAACAATGCCAGTCCTTCATTTGTAGAGAGCATCATGGGAATGCTATGCAGCCCTCTGTTAAGGATAACAGTGGCAGCCATGGCTCTCCGATCAGTGGGAAGCTGGAAGGCATCTTCTTTAGCTGCAACACTGAGTTTAACACTGGGAAGCCACCCCAAGATTCACCCTATGGAAGATACAGGTATGAGATTGCAGCTGAAAAACTCTTCAACCCAAATACTAACTTGTACTTTGGAGACTTCTACTGCATGTACACAGCCTACCACTACGTCATCCTCGTGATCGCCCCCGTGGGGTCACCAGGAGATGAGTTCTGTAAGCAGCGCCTTCCCCAGCTAAACATAAAAGATAACAAATTTCTGACCTGCGATGAAGAAGACGGGGTCATGGTTTACCATCACGCCCAGGATGTTATTTTGGAAGTAATTTACACTGATCCTGTGGATCTCTCCCTTGGCACAGTTGCTGAAATTACTGGTCACCAACTAATGAGCTTGTCTACTGCAAATGCAAAGAAAGATCCCAGCTGCAAGACCTGCAATATCAGTGTTGGACGTTAAAACTCCCCTCATTCCTTAGGAGCCTTCAAGCCTCTGTTGCCCGTGTCCATAGTCAGACAGTTCTGTCGGAAGCATGCACATGCCGCTGCCACCAAAAGCAACTACCAGTCTTCAAAACCTCCAATAGCCTTCTTAGGATCTCTTCTCTCCCTCTTTCCCTTCTGTTCCCCCGATGCTTTAAATGATTAGAAGTCCTGGATTTCTTTCTGGCAACCATTTATACCTAGATGCTGCAAAAATTGTTTTCTGTTTCTTGCCAAACATAACAAAATCCTATATAAACTGCTTTAGCAAAATAAAAATAACGGCTTATAAATGGTGTTTAAATATGCATTCATTTTAACTACTGAACAAGTACTGGGATAACTGAACAGCATGAAAGGTTGTAATTGCAGCATGATTTGAATTTCAGAGCCTAGAAATGTCAGCACTTCCAACGTGTTGTTTGACAGTGTTATTTATGTTATTTATATTAGCTAACTGAAAACAGAAACGGTGTCTCGACATAATAAATATAATAGAAAAATATTTTATTTGTACTGTTGTATAAAATATTATACAATCATATAGAATATATAGATTACATTTTAATATCAATTGTATACATGTCATTAAATCATTTTCCCTTATCAAAGATGTAGTTTGTAAACTTCAAATAGCTCTGTATCTGTTCCTGTTGCTCTAGATGACTTTAATTAAAACAGATTTATGAAGACCATTTCTGATTCATAAAAGTTAAGTTATAAATTATTAAATCAGTACACTGAAACAACAAACGGTGCAAAATAAAAAATTCCTTTTTTAGTGTTCATATTTTTTCCTCCAGACTACTTGAAGATGTGTACATCTTCCAAATCATGCCATTACATACTTGATAAATACAAACATGGTTGGTACATAAGACGCTTTATAAAATCAAAATCTTCTTACCAAGATAAAAAACAGGTTGCTTATACTATGTGGTCAATACAAAATGACAGGTAAAGCAAAACACTAAACATTATTCATCTGGTTCCAGTCCCTTTTTTTTCTTTAATTCTTCTCTCTTTTCTGTCTGGGGTAGGAATTTCCCAGAATCCCTGCTTTTAATTTCTAGTACAAAACCTGCTGATAATCTTTCTATTACTAGTCCACTTTTTACATCAATGGTCTACCACAAACAGTGACAATTCTCCTTAATATTACAAAGTGTGGTGCTCTGAAAGTTAAGAAAAATGCATAACTCCAATGGAAAAATAACTTTCTATAACCTTATTTTCAGTAAACAAGAAGTCTAGCAGTCCTCATCAGATAACTGTGACACTCACTTATATACCATGTACTTTATCTATCCAAAATATCTTAGCATAATGCAGTAATCTAGTCCTGTTTTTATATATATATGTGGCAATTTATAACACAAGAAGTACTTCAACACTTTACAAAGTGCATGCGTTTGAACGAGCTTTGGTAGTTAGAGAAGCGAATGTTATAGCGTCAGGCAAACCAAAGTGCAAAGGTTAATAGAGAAATCAAAACTAGCATGTAGTTGATCTATTTACTGACTTCTAAATTCTGTGATCCAGGTCCTGTGAACTAGTGAAAAGGACAGCAGCCAGGACATTTGTTCCATCTTCTCTCAGCAGCCTGTAGCTGTTTCATTTTGCCAAGCCCTTTCTCTTACTCCTGTAACACCACCAGTTCCCTTTGGCAGTCTTGTTCTGGCCTTTTCCTGCTCTGCTCCCAGCCCTGGCACTGCTTCTCCCTATGCATCTTTCTTTGAAGCCACTGGAATTGAATGGCAGCTCTGTCTTGATAGCTAGAGTATGTTCTGAGTGTTTCCTTCACTCATTCAAATAATTTATTTTAATCTAGTGAATCAGCACACTAATAGCCAACATTACTAATTAGTTATAACACATGTTAATTCTGGAAACAAACGTGTGGCACATTAGCATGTACTGAGATATACTAAAAACCTGCAGAACATTTCCTCACACTTTTGGAGCAGGTCATCAAACTGAGAATCTACATTACTTCACTGTCCTTTTAATTTCTTAACATTCTCACAGTGCACTTCAAGGCTTTTTCAAAAGGAAAAATATATACTATATTCCACTCACCCGTGCTTAATATTCTTGCATATTGCTGTTCTCTCTCATCACAGCTATTATAATTGGTAAAGTGCATCAAAAATCTCAGTGTGTCAATAATCGTGCAGCAGACCAAGACCTGTAAAATTACTTTCTCTTTTTCATTACTTGTTTGCTTGCATTTTTTTCTCTCTCCTTTTTTTTTTCTTTTTTTTTCCTAGAGAACAATATCACAGCATTGCATTCACTTCAAATTGTTTTGGAAATATCATGCTTACTGATGAGAACCTCCAGGAGCCTGATTTTGGCTTTTGTGTGCTTGTATTCAGAGTATTCCTCAGCCATTGGCACCCGATCTTCTTTCTGAGGACTCCTATGAAAAGCAAATATAAGCACCATCATTTTTTATGACTAACAAGAGAAACAGTATTAAAAATTAATTCTGCAACAACTGATGAGGATTGGGTTATTTTTTTTTACTGACTGTAAATGACTAAGATAATTTGACAGGACCAAAAAAGCTCTAATATTCAGAAATAAAGTCATATTTTAAATACTGAATTTTCATATACTAGATAACTTTCTTGACAGCTGTGGAAGTATAATTACTTGATTCTCAAGTCATTTGCAAATGGTTACCAGTTACCACCATTACCAGTGCCCGTATACACCATGGTTTTCAACAAAAATGTTTGCTAAATGAAGAGGAGGAAAAACAGAGTGAAAAATGGCCAGTATTTAATTCTGAGTAAAAAAAACCCAGTGGCTTCTGGTTTTAAAATCTGGCTGTTTACAAATGACCCAACTGCCAAGTCTATTCCCTGCAGAGTGACATCCTCAGAAAGAGACTTTTAGCAGCCTCCCTTGAGCTCAGGGAATATCCTGTGCTGAGGTGGGTATAAACTCATTGTAGGCATGACCTGGAAGATCCCCAGATCCTGGCTTTCCTCACAGATGACCACATCTTGAAGGAGCTAAGCAGAGAGATAGATGGACATCTGCAGAGACCAGACATCTCCAGGGTATCAGTGCTAGGATGCTCAACGGGCAGGAAGAATGATGCGCAGAACTCCATGATATCAGAAGACTAATTAATTACTTCATTATATTATATTATAACTGTATTACACTAACAAGAACTATCACTAACTAACTAGAAAACCCCTGACTCTCTGCCCGAGAGTCCCGACACACACACGTGGATCCAATTGGTCAATGAATCCAAACCACCATCTCCAGAATCCAATCAAGCAATCACCTCGGGTAAACACTCTCCAGAACACAACCCACATGGGCACAAAATGTTAGACTAACAAGAACTATCATTAACTAACTAACTAGAAAATCCCTGACTCTCTGCTCGAGAGGCCTGACACACACACATGTGGATCCAATTGGTCAATGAATCCAAACCACCATCACCAGAATCCAATCAAGCAATCACCTCGGGTAAACACTCTCCAGAACACAACCCACATGGGCACAAACACAAGAGCAGCAAATGAGAGAAGAATTGTTTTGATCATTCTTTTCTCTGCTTTCTCTCCTGAGAAAGTGAAATCTCTGTTCAGAGAGCATGTGAATACCACATCAGGGTATTTTCCTGCTCTTAGGTGCATCCCCTTTGGCCTGCTCACCCTCACAGAGACAAACACCCCTGCCCAGGACCCAAAGGGGACAAGGAGAGGGCCCTGCTGACTTACCTTCCTGTCTGTTTGTAGAACTGCTCCTCAAACTCTCGAAGAGCCTTGCGAAGTCTCTTCTTATCAGCTCTTGTTTCTCTGAGATGTTCGAGCAGAACTGGCCTGTGGATCAGAGACAGGAACGTGAAACCCCCTTGTGCTTGGGAGGGTTGTAAAGCCCTGGATTTGAGCTTCTGCTCTGGGCCCTTGGCAGGCACTGGCCAGAGCCCCAAGACATTCCATCACCCTCCACACAACACTGTACCCCTTCCCTTTTACTGGTGTTCCAGCTAATAAAGGGAAGGCAGAGACTCTGGTCAGTGGAAGAGGAGAAGCATTCAGGACTGAGCCTTGCTACTGGCCTCAATTCCCTGCGGAATTAATGGAGTTGACAGGGCTCAGTATCTCACAGGAGGAAATGCTGTAGCTGAATTACAGTCAACATGCAAGCCCTGCTCCTATTTGCAGCTGCTCCCAATCATTACTGTGATGCAGTGGAAATGCCAGTGGTACCCAGAAGCATAATGTTTGGAGGCCATGTTTTAGCTAGTGTTCAGAGGATAAGGGTTTAAGCAGTGAGAGAATTCTGTTGACATTTTCTCCTGGTAATTTTTTTTTTTTTCATAATGACAAAATGCACAGAAATATCTTCCCAGCATTTATAAGCAAACTATTGTGCACATCGTTTGTTGAGTTACATAGAAATCTAATTTTTATTTGATCTCTATAGTGTTAGAGTCTAGTTAGCTTCATTTATGCATCTAAGACCTTCCAATCAAAACACAAAAGATACCATCCCCTAAGGTATGTGAACATATCTGTTCCTGGAAGGCACAAGTTACCTTTCTCTTCCTGGAGACAAAACATTGTTTGAATAAACAGCTCAAACCACCAGTGTGCTGCCCAAACAGTGAATCTCCTCTGCCTCCCCTCTCCCATAAGAAAGCACTGAATCACTCCTTTGGTATAGAATATACCTATGCAACAGATATGGCTCATATTTCTCTTAAAGGCTCATATGTCACTTACAAAGTCTACAAGAAATGTTTTTAAACATTTGGGAGGGAAAAAGAGAGAACTTACATTGTTGCCTCATGTAAATTGGACATTGACAAGGCTGTTTGTCTGTAAACTTTCTTTTCATCCAGAGGTGAAATATGTGCAGGCTCACTCTCCTCCTGTGAATAACACAGGTGCTCTTCAACAGGGAAGCAAGACATTGGGCCAGATGATAACTCATGGCTGCTTTGAGAACGGTCTTCATCTGAGTCCTCTTCCTCCTGCTTGGGAAATGCAAAACATTATCAAATTAATTGTTTAAATTACAGTGCTTCCAGTAATAGGCTGACAACATAAAGAATTAGGATCTGACTTCCTGCATGTATTCAAAACAGAATAGATGTTTTGAAAGGTTTACCAGGTCTACCTGAGGCTGCTCACAAAAGCACTCCTGGGGTCACTGGGTTGCATTGCCACTAGGAGTAAAAAGGACAGAAGCTGGCCCTGCTCCCAAGTATCTCCAGCCAACAATTTATTTCTGTCTGCTCAAAAGCCTTTACATGTAGCAAAGATTTAACTAACATTCTGTATTTATGTAAGCAATGCAGTCTGGCTGGAACTTCTACTTCTCTTATATACACATCTCCTGTATGTGTATGATATCCAGATGTTTTGGCTGTAGAAAGAGTTGGAGGGAGAGATTCCACAGTTTTATAGCCACTAAGGAGACTGACATTGGTGTCTTGCTCACATTCCTCCATCCTCAGAAAAAAAGTTGAACTATCGAAACCAAGGCTTAAACATAACAACTCCACAGGGCAAAGCTCCTGACAAGTAACACTTAGGGGGAATTGCAGTGAAATTTTTCAATGAAACATCCAGGTGCAAGTGTGCCAAGCTTTGCACTGTGATTTTTCAAAGAAACTAAAGTTACATTGTCATCAAACAAGACAATAATAATTTTTAAAATTGACCTAACCCCAACTACTATTAGATTACTATTTTTGGTAGACATGCTAATTAAATTCCAAGTAGCCAGATTCCACTACCTTCACCCACAGTGAGACCAGTACTGTTCCATTGCACCAATATGTTATTAAAGTACTACAAATTTCATGTATGTGCTACATGGTTGATGAAAGCATTGTTGATAAGATATAAAAGTGAGATACAGTGACAGCAGAGTCCTTCATGGACAGAGAGAGCTTTCCTTCTGTGTGGCAGAGGTTTGCCACGATGGAAAACAAATGCCAGCCTTTGAAGTCTTACCCAGCCCTCTGAAGTTCTTGCCTCAGAAACTGCTGCTGCACATTGGAACTTCTAGCATGCATGGAAGTTGAATTTTACAGAGCATTTTGAAGTATCAACACCCTGTGTTAACCAATCAGCAGGTTTTTTTGGTATCAGTAGTTCTATTGTTGGACATACAGGTACAAATCAAACACAGCATTTTGTATGTTTCCTTGGCATTGGATGAATTCTTTCCAACTTACAATTGTTGTGATCAAAGATGGAGCAGCCAGAAGTTTCTTGATAATTCTGTATCTGTCATAAAGAGGTTTCATGAGACTCTTTTCTTGCTTAGTTACCTAAAGAGAAATCATAACAAAACATAGCCCTCAAAAATTAAAAAATAAAAAAGTACGTTTAAAAGAGTCTAATTTTCTCCTATAAAGCTGAGAAAGGTATTAGAAGAGTATGAGCAGATGTGTATTTTGCTTCAATAGATATTCCATGGGAACTGTAATATAATCGATGCAATTTCTAAAAAGGAAAATGGCAATCAATTTTCTAATGGAGAATACTTTGTACGGCTTCCTCACTTTCTTGAGCCACACTGCCCAGGCAGAGGGCAAATTATTCTCTCTCTGAGGCTGCTGCTAGAGCAGGAGTTGAGGTGTGCTGCTGCTGTGCCTTGCACTGCCAGCTCAGCTCCTGAGCTGTGATGGCAGCAGCAGGAATGGCACAGCCTGCCTGGGACAAGGCACTCACTGGCCCGGTGGGATGGAGAGCACCAAGAACACGGCTCTGCAGCCTGCACATGGAGCTGCCTCTGTGCAGGATTGCTGCCTGCATCCCTCACCAGAGCTGCTTTCCACAACGGGGATTTACCATCTGTTCATCTGCTTTGTTCTTGGTCTTTCATGAGCACTTGGAGCATTGATTTGGAAGAGAATATGATTTTAAATCAGGTGCTAAGTGCCTGATCCCGCCACAAAGGTTCACAAATACAACAATACACCTTAGGGAAACTAGCTGTGCACTTGATTGACTTACTGCATTAAGGGGAAAAAAAAAAAGCAACAAGCAAATTCCACAAGGGAAAAAATCCCAAAATCAAGACAAACCACCTCTCTGCCCCCCACAACAGCCAACCAATCACACCATGCCACCACACCCCTACACCCCGAAATAACATTCTTCTCAGTGGTAGAAAGTCCAAACAGAGTCATTTGCTCCCTAATCCACCATCAGCCTCTGCTCATCAGCTCCCACACCTATGAGCACTCCCTGGTGCAATTTCACTGATTTTTGGCACTGCAGAGAGGCCCAGGTGCACCCGCTCAGATAAGTGAGCCCATGGCAGGTGTGAAGAGACAGCGGCTGATGGCACAGGCAATAGTCCAGAGCTGCTCAGACAGGCAAATGCCTGGTCAGCAGGAGCAGGGGGGACAGTAGACAATCACAGGCTGGTGACACTGCACACATCTGGCTGATGGAGTGCTTAGGGACCACTTCTAGAGCCACCCTTCAGTGTGGAACGTCAGGGCTTGCCTATCCCCCTTCTCTTCCCCAGGCATCATCTTCCATTTGACTACAACACATAAGAGCTCCAGGGAATGCCAAACAAGCCAGAAGAGGTAATTGTTTTTGCTTTAAACCTGGTCAGTGGTCTCTCTGTCTGGCCTTGTCAGGTAATTGTGGATAAAGATGGTGCTGAGCCATACCAGACATCAGCAGGGCAAACTTCAGCCCCAGCACACTGCACTGTTTCAAGGCTGCTGTTACAGAGCTGCCTCACCCCTCAGAACACCCTCTCTGAATCCTGTGCTACAAGGCACCCTGTTATTCTCTTTCTTATCTCTCAATTACCTCTACATTGCACTAATAATTTCTTTTTTTGTTTTCCTTCTCAGGAAATAGAATTTCTTCATACCCTTCTTGCATACTTACTCCATCCCTCAGCACTCATTCCAAGCCCAAAGAAGATGAACAAAAATGAGGTCAGAATCAGATCATAATTTTAACAGCTGGCATTTTTTTAGACAAACAGAGGTGCAAGTTCCCTTTACCACAACAACTACTAGCCAGAAACAGACATTCACAAGAATACAGACATTGATATCAAAAGAAATTCCTCAGCTGTGTCGACAAATTTTCAAATCATCATCTCACCAATTGTGGCATTTTTTTGTTTACACCTACATTCAGAAATGAAGTCCCTTGAAAAGATTTTAAGGAATAGTTTAAGTCCTATTATGTAGTAAAGGAAAACACATTCGACAGGTCAGGTAATTTTATAGTTCATATCTCAGATGGTGCCCTACATAAAACCTTCCTCAGCTGATAAGCCTTCCATCATACATGATAGCAGAGCCAAGGCTGCTGTGAATATATAATCTTCCAATTTAATCCTCAAATCTTGCATTTCCCAATCATAGAAAGATACAGAGCCACTTTTTATTTTACTTTAATTTCTAACATATAAACCAAATTCATCACTCTCAGGAAATAACATTTATATCTGAAAATTAGTTTGAAATAACTAAAATTATGTTAATTGTGTAAAATTCATTTAAATATATTTAATATACCAAAAATATTGGCGAGAGAAGTTAGATAATTTTTAATTTACCTATCTTTCCATGGCATACTTACAGGTTGTCCATGAATACTCTCAAAATATAGTAGACATTTCTGAAGATTGATTTTTTCCAAAGCCATTTGCTTTTTTGTCATATCCTATTTAAAAAAGTTATTTATAAGATTGTGAGTCAGGATTTCATGACAAGGGTACAGGTACATATCTGTTTAATAATCTCTTCTTCCCAGATAAACATTAATAATGAATTCTATTTCTGTCTGCACTGAGGTCAATGGGGACATGGCATTAACTTAGCAAGAACAGAGTCCAAAATTACACTACATATATATTAAGTGTGTTTAGTTATAAAAAATGAGAACAACCACCATTCTAGACAATATACTCAGAAAGCTGAAAAAATGCATAGAGAGCATTCCTCAATTTTTTAATTATTCATCAAGAAAGAGAAATAGATTTGCCTTGGCTGGTAAGTGATGTAGAACATAAGGAACTAGCAATGCAAACCCAACCTGTAATGGTAACTTATTTCTGTTCAAAGACTGCAGTATGAATCACTGGTACCAAAGGAACGCTGATTTTGCAGTGTTGGTGAACAGTCAGTGTTTGTCCAGGTGTGTGCTGGGGGGAGCACACTGTGTAACAGGTATTTGTCTCCTCCCTTGCCCCAGCCAGACCTGCTCCTGACAGTTGCATATTTTCACCTGGGCCAGAACACCAAGGAGCACACGAAGTGAATGTCACTTCCCACAGTCTGTGCCAGGACACAGCAGAGCCACTGGAGTCAGGGCCAGGTGTTCCCAGGTGTGGGGAGATGAAGTCGTGTCAAGAACCAGGGGCTTGGGGCACACACAGGGGATTTCTGCAGAAAGCTGATGACAAGGGGGCTTGTAGTGGTAACTAAGAAATTACTACTAATTAGACCCTACCTTTCAAAATAAATCAACCTTGAAGAAGTGACACTCTTCTAATATCAGAGCACCTTGCTATTAACTTCAACAGGAGAAAGACATTTTTTCTTTGATGTTCAAATGTAAAAACAGCACAGAGCCATTAATCAGAACTGCTAATCACATTTTCCTAAAATGTCTGCATGAGTTAATCACTCTAAAATCATCTGTCATTCATGTTAAGAGATGAGCTGCTAACTAGAATGCAGGAATATTATAAATCAGCTAATTTGTTTATTTATAGCTATTTCTGCAATTAATATAAGGTTAATTCTTTCCAAAACTATTAAGCCTGGAGCAGCTGAGTGGTTAGGAAGAAATGGGGTGATCATTAATATTGATTTTACACAAGAGAAACGATCTCAGGAGGGTTTAGCATTTGAGCCTATTTCATTAGCTCATTTTATTAGCAATCTCAAGACAGGTTGGTATTCAGCTAAGTTTGAAATAGCTGATAATTTCAAAATGAGAGAAGGCAGCTGCAGCCACAAACTACAGAATTGTCTGAGACATCTTAGGACTGTAGGCTACGTACAGCAGCAGGAGATTCAATGCTAATTAAATAGAAACACTGCTTCATAGCCAAGGAGAATATGAACTGAAGTGGGTCAATGATGAGAAGACAGATACATAAAGGGAGCCAGTCTGAGAAAAGCCTTGGGGGACAGGCTGCAAACATTCATACAAAAGGCAAAAGTTATTTGCGACATATAAAGAAAGAAAAGGGGGACTCCACCTAAAGATAAGGTAGTAGTTTGGTTTTCATGACTTGGAACAGAGGCACACAAAATGTTGTGTACAGTTATCTTCCTTACTAGTCTGTTCTGTTCCCTGCATGCTTGTGCCTTTAAGCTCGCTGTTGTTTTTCCAGACAGAAAATACAAACTGGGGACAGAAGGACAGACAGTCCAGTGAGGGCTGGGCCTGCCCAGAGCCTGTCAAAGGCAGTGCTTTGTTTCCATGCAGGCACAGAGTCAGGTTCCCAGGGCCTTGGTCTGCCTCTTGGGGATGTGTGGTGGCTCATTACAAAGCAGCATTTAACACAAGCTTAGAAATAAAAAGTATAAAGAAAGGCAACACGTGACCTGACACCTCCATAGAGCAGTGCCAGCTCCCATCAGGCCGGCTCCAGCCCCACTCCTCTGGGAAGGGCTGTGAGCCAGAGCTGGGCAGCACAGAGCTGCTGCTCCCCCAGGGCACTGAGGCAGTCACAGCCCCAGCCACCCAACACTCACTTTGGATTCCAGCTTGGGATGGGGTCTTGGTGGATTTGCTTTTTGGGAGATTTGGTGCAGCTTTTTCAGTAGTGTTATTAAAATATGTTATTTGCCTTTTATCTCTTGAACTCCTACATTCATGCTCTTAATCTTTACCTTTTTCTAAAGCTTTGTGCCTAAACCTAAGGTGAGCTATTGCATAAAATACCATCTCCCAATAATATACTGGGAGGTGGTAATTTATGTAATACAAACAATGACAGCTGGCCACCCCTTTGTGGGCTACTGAGCCATGCACATGCCAACCCAAATTTTCTCTATGCCTTCTCATTCAATAACTTTACTCACAGGCTTTTTTGCAGAGGAGTGTTTGGTTCTGGAAACCATATTTTGCTGTTTTCTATTCAGATCTTGTGGTCTGTGCTTTTTAGACATACTGGGATTTTATTTTTTTACCTTTCTAAGGACACACATGCTCTCATTTGTATTTCAGCAGGGCTTTAGAGGTTTTCCACAGAGAACTTCAGGGGAGAACTTGGCAGGCTTTCATGGAAATGCTGTCTTTGACCAAAATAACTAAATACCCCAAAAAAGAAACATTAGCTGCTACTTAGTTTACTATTAATCTAGCTCAGATTCTAGTGCAGGTTCTAAATGTTGTATAGAAAACAAAATGTTGCAGATAAAATATATCTACAGTAACACCAAAGCTGTTTGTAGCTGAAATGAAGCCTTTGATCTTTGCTGTTACCACAGACATCCATGATTTATTTTGAATCATCGGTGCCACAAACCTCATTCTCCCCCAAAAGTCCAGGATGACTCATAATCAAAATCCAATCTTTTTTAATGTTACGCTTAGGGAGCTACTAAAATATATCATTTTGGAATAGATCAATTTGATTTCATGTTATTCCTGCTCAAGCCTGTGTTCCCCAGCAGTTTTGATAACTATTACCAAGCACTTTGCTAACAGATGGTTTTTAAAACACAAGTTCTCTCCACAAGAAAACAGAAAATTAATAAGATTTAAAAAAAAAAATGGAAAACATTGTCATGTGCAAACATTTAATTTACATATTTCCCTGTCTGTGAAAATATTTCAATCCCTAACTGCCATTTCCTAAATTTAGAAGGTTCTCTTGGAAAATTACGGGAAGTCCAAAAAATTGAAAAATAAGTGGGACAGATACCCACACCCAACTTACTTTTATAAGTTTTTTGGAGTGGGTTTCATAACAGACATCTGTTTGGGGTCATCTGTTCTCAACAAATAAAAAAAAAATTAATGACTGTAAATATTATCCTACAGTCTGCACTGTTAGGATTTTAGAGCTATGTACAAAATAGTACAGTTTTGTTGCCTTTTTTTCTGTTTGTTTTCTGGTTATGAAACCCTTTTTCCATTTAATTTCTCTTTCTAAAAAAGTAGCAGATAAAAAGAAACAATTAAAAAATCAGTCATGTATGCAGTGCCCAAGATCTGAGTAGCATGGCATTGTTATGCACAGTTCTGGTTTTTATATAGTAGCTAGTTGTTTGAGAGCCAAGAATAGAAACAAAACAAAAATTAAAAATTATCTCTGCTGGGTACTCTCTGCTACTGAAATCCACCCAGAATAATTTCTTAGTTCTCACATAGTTTAGCATTTAGTTCTTCACCCTCTCACCCCTTCAGCTTTTTAATTAATCACCCAAAGTCCAAATGTCACTGTCAACACTTAGATTTTAGGTACCTTTGAGGGCAGGATTTATTGTCCTGCTTGGCTGTAATAGCATCAGAACAGCAGCACCCTCTGACAGCAAAACCAGCCCCCAGAAGAGTGGGGGTTTGGGTGGTACACATTGTTTTAGAGAGCCCTATATTGTGCCAGGAATGTGAAGGCACAGCAAAAATTTAATACGTGTACTAGTTTTAAAACAAAAGCTGATTTCGTAGCCAAGCAATCATGTTCCATGGAATATTGCCCCTACATTCAGAAGAGTAATTGAGAACATGGAGGAGGAAGAGGCAGGACCAGCACAAATGTACAAGGTGGAGAGCAAAGCAGTCTGGATGGTTGTGCTGTCCCTGTCACCTCAGTGCATGCTACTGACTCAGCAGAGGCTTTCAGCATTTCTCAGCTGAGAGGGGATCTTTATCATCAAAATACCTTCAGGAGTGTTTTTAGTCACAGTTTCTGTGGACTCAAGGTGCTCGTGCTGCACCATCTTCAGTACACCAGGTATGCAGTTCTGGGCAAACAGCCTCAAGTCAGCAGGTTCCTGCAGTGCCTGGCAAACAGTTTCACATGTGCATCTCTGAGCAGAAAATGCTTAGCACTGCTTGAAAAAGCCTTCTGCACCTGAGCAATTCTTCTCAGAAGAGTCACTTCTGGAAACTGCACTAGAGCTCCCACCTCACTAGAGAGAAAATGCACTGCAGTGCCAGCAGACAGAGGATGTGCAGCCCCTGGCACACCCTGAGCCAGCCACACACCAACATCTGCCTCAGCTGAGAGAGTTCTGAGGGACTTCTTAAATACCTTAATAGTCTCAGGCAGGTTGAAGTGCTGTCTTTTCTCCTTTAGTCGTCTCAGCACACTGTCCATGGTTTCCTCCACTGAGGGAGCTGGCTCCATGCTTGTGGCCTCCTGTGTGCCAGCCTCTTTAGAGGTGCCACTGCCTTCACAGGGCTCATTTCTTTGGGGCCCTGTGGAGGTACAGCTCTGCTCTTCTGACATTCTCAGTTTCAGCTCTGAAAGGTAAATTGCATGGCAAGTAAACAGATTAGAAGTATTTGCAAAGGAGTTTTCCTACTCCTTGCTAAGAATTATTATCATACCACAGGCACATAGGAAAGTAATTCTGCTTCACTTTAATGTGTAACATCTTTTGCTTCCTGGAGCAATTTAAACTGTCCCTCTCCCTTCCAGAGGCCACCCTGCCATGCCAACACAGCTGCTCGTGTGATCCTCACAAGGAGAAGCAGTCACTTTCTTAAATGCCTTCCCTTGACAGAAGAGCACCTGAGCACCCAGCAGAAGACAGAAGCTTCCCAGTCAGCAGCCTGCCTGGATGTGATAAAGCATGTGACTCTATTGTCTTGACACCAAGCCAAAGCCCCTGGAGCTCCAGGGACCTGCACAGAGCAGCAAGGAAATTGAATTAAACTCTGAATTAGCTCCCATAAAACCTGATTTTGTTCCAAGCATATGCCTGTCTGGTGAAGGACCCTGGGCAAGGCAGGAGATTGATGTGTCCAACTGTGTTAAATTTGTTGAAATCCACGCAGAAACAGTAACACAATTTTTTAGCTGTGACAGTCTGAGGATAGAGGCCAGCTTTATGGAAAAGCCAGCAATTTTTGGTAAACCCATAGAGCTAGAAAGGATAGATAACCCTTGCAAATTTGAAGAAAGATCTACAAACATCTGAGTGTTTTCCATTTCAATTGTTCTTGGCATGTGAACCTCATGAATCTGGCTTCATCTAAAAGCAGTGCCATTATTCAGGATAATAAAAATTAAGGGTTGTCACAGGATTGAGGCATTTGAGGGGTGAAGGTGAGGCTGATCTTTGCAACCTAGACCCTCAGGACAGGAAGTTGAGTCAGAGATAAGATTTTCAGAAAAGTAACTATGCAGATTGGCCTTTTCTTTGCATTTGCCCTTCCTGGATTTGCAACAGAGTTCAAGAGGAAACAATAATAGTAATCATCATCATCTAGTAGTCAAACAGGACAGTACTCAAGTGAGTAAATTTCTTCTGGAAATTCTCCAAGATAAGTTTCTAATTCTTTATTTACCACAATAACATCCTCTATATCTACATTATTAACTACATCCAGAACAGAGATTAAAGATAACACTACAATTTATTTAGTAGTGAAAATCCATTTATAACAGGGAAAAAAAAAAGGATTTAGAGAAATTATAAATAGCCTTCAAAAAAATCAATCAGTCTTGGCTACAGACTCCCCAAGGGAAAGCATCTGATACACCCACAAACGTAATGGAGTGGTATGCAGACAGTCAAGGTCAAAACCTGACCCTCAAGGCCAAATTTATTGTCAAGGAAAGATTTGTTTTTATGATCAAATTAAATTACATCCTTAGAGATGTGTATCTTCAGTCCTAAAGAAACATTTTCACCTATATTTTTGCTATTACAAAAATAGTAATTCTATTTTACTTTTTTTTACTTCTGTGTTTTAGACCCTCATGAAAGTGCTCAGAACAGCATTGCCTTTTGCACGAATGTTTATAGTGATGAGGGAGAGACGATGGCTTTCCCCCCCTCCCCCTTTCTAGCCTTGGTATGAAGGTTGAACTGGCTCACTTTAATCCCTGCTTTCAGGAATCAAGGCAAGTCATATCACATCATATCTTTCTTGCCATTGGGAGACTTACTGCCACACACTGTGAAAAATAAGCACAGCAGTGAGGTTAGAAAAGTGACTTCAAAAGGTTCCAGGTACACTCCCTCTTCCAAAAGCCTCAGCAGCAAAGGGACACAACACTCTATTATGTACCTTTGAGCTGCTTCCGACCTTTGGCCAGAGCATTCATCCACTTCAGAACTTCAGGATTGGAAGTCTTGTCACCATGAGAAGGCTGAATGCAAAGGAAAACATAAAGAATGTAAAGAAAGAGGAGGAACTGGCAGTTAAAGGATCAAACAGATAAAACCCTCCCCACCCCCAGTGTGCTACAAAATGTCCCCAGTTCTGACTGCACTCTATCAGAGCCATGCAGAGCATCTGGCTTGATCATGGCATTCATTTGTCATGGCTTATCTCTCCCCATTGTGACACAGTGCCACAAGGATCTGAGTGTTACGTCTCTGATCCCAAAAAGCACAGCAATGAACGTTTCAGCCTCTGACTAATTGGATAAATAACTTCAGTGACTTCAAAAGGATTGAGCGAATACCTAATTTTAGTCAAGTTCCTAAGTGATTTCCAGGATGGTAACTGAAGGTCTCTGTCCTCTGCAGGAATAAGCTCTTACTTTAAGACAGGGATTCTCTTGGGAAACGGCAATTTCAGAATTTCTACTGACCTGCTTAATTAATCAAATGAAAAATCCTATGCAAGAGTGATTTCAAAAGAAACAAACAACAAAGGCTTTGTAGATCAGGGGTTATTTTGCATCTAGAAATTGTCTGTGAATTAAAGTGAATTTACACTGAATCTTCAAAACTCAGATATGTAAAATTGCAAAACAGTTTTGTAAAATAATGCTCCTGAAATAATTTCTGTTCTGGCCATAGTGTGAGGGTTGTTTAGGTATGAAATTGTTCTCCTAGGAGCATATGATGCCCACAGATCTAAACAGTGCAGAAGGCTATGGTTTCAGCCATTAATGGGATTAAAAGGTAATATATCCTTTGCTTAATTTTAATATAGTCAGAAAATGTCACAAACTTCCCTGCTTTGTGTTGTACACCTCCTTAGCATCAGGTACATTTTGATATTTTTATACTGCACAATTCCCAGCACAGCACTCACCACTGACCTCAAACAACCCCCACAAGTTTTATTTCTCTGATTTTTGCCATCAGCTTGTACAGAGCCCCAGGCTTTGGAGGTTCATAGGAGCCTGCCTGAATGAAGGGATCTGCACAGCAGAACAAGTTTCCAGGCAAATGACTCCCACAAAGCAAATAAGTAGCTTTTCACCTTTTGCACCATTTTGTTTCACAAGCCTGTCAGCCATGTTTCACTGATTCTTCTCAAATATGGATATTTTGCTACAAAGGTAATCCAAAGAAAATGCAGAGTCTCAGATCTACTGCATACACTGAAAGGTGATGAAAAGCTATTCACTGAAGTTTTTCCAATTTCATTTTACCAGAAATACCCTATCTGACATTGTTTTGAATAAGTTTAAATACGCTGGGATTCTTGTCTCCCTCTTGGAGTATTTACCTTTTCAATTATTGTCTTACCAGGTATTTTTTTTCTTGCTCAAACTTTTCTTCATACTTCCTAATTTTTCTCTTGAGGCTCTGAAGGTGCTTGGTAAGCTGAGTTACTGTCTGTGGTTCTTTGCAGTCTTCACAGCTACACCTGGAAGAACTTCTTGGCCTGCAAAAACCAAAAGCAGAGTTGTGGGATCTAAGAGCTGGCTATAATGGACCATGCCTTGTTTTCAGACACACTTAACATTTTAGAATTCATGGCTATTCTGTTCTTTCACTGGCTAGAGACAGCTTAGTTTTACAAAGTAAGCATAAAATAATTGCTTTTGCTTGAAGGTACCCCTAGAGTATTCTAATGGGTTCACCATCTGTCTTACATTCTCTCTTTTTTTTAATTAATCATGGGATTTCTGAATATATTTTTAAAAATTAATCTAGTAGGCAAAAGCCTGATCCAGTATTTACATTTAACACCCACACCTTTATTCAAAATCTTGCAAGTATAACAGGAGACTGTGGTGACATGATTTGTAAAAGTAAGCTCAGTTTTTCATTACTGGAAATAAACATTATCATTTGGAAGACAGTTTAGTTTCTGATTATTTACAGTTGCAAGTCAATAGAGCTGATTATTATCCATATGCAGCTGAAGCTAAAGCTCTGTATATAAGCTTTAAGAAAGTTTGATTTCTCTCCAAACTCACAGCTTGGTTTCTGGAAATCACATACATGGACTGTTCATATGCTTTATGTCACTGTCACCCCTCATCAGTGACTCAAGCTACAGCTCAATTACAGCTGAATTTTTTAGTATTAGACCTAGAGAGCCCTCTCTATCTTGTGCTCATTCATCATTCTAATTACTAACATTTAAAACTGTCCTTGCTAACTATAATTACAAAGACTTCAAAAAAATATTGTACACTGTTATGACTGAGGAAACACTAGTTCCTATTTCTGGTGTTGCAAATTACCCATTTCAAAATATGCCACAATACAAACATTTGCTTTTTATGACATAGCAACAACTGACAAAACCCACGAAGAGTCAAAGGTTGTGAATTGCAGAAAAAGTCTTAAAAATACATAAGACTTAAAATAGATTTTCTTACATCATGAAAGGTTGAGCACTTGGTGGAGAAGGGGCAGACTCTGTGTCTAGATTGAATCTCTGGCTTTGGCTAAAGATAGAGCAGCGTGGTGACAGGAGGGGATTGTCTCCATCTGTGATGTGATACAGCAGTCGGCTGGTCCCGAGGGAGTGATGCTCCTGTGGGCTGCTCTCCATGTCATTCTGCCAGTCCCTGTGGGCTGGCACAGGCTCTGGAAAGAAAGTATACATCACTGTGGACTGAGGGTCACTCACTTAGGGTACAGCTACCTAGCTCAATAAAAATTTGTGCCCACAGAAGTATTCCAAGCATAAGTATTCAAAGTGAACAGCAAACAGATCAGCAAAGTGTCGCATGCAGGGTGGACACAGCACTGAGGATGAGAAAATAGAAGTACTGCCACTGGCTTCACATAAACCCTTTCTGGGTTCCACAGGAGGAGGTGGATGGGTGTATTTATAAACTATGAAGTAAAGATGGAGAGTTTCCCAGAGCAGAAGCATTACTTGTATTTTCATAGATCTGTTTGCTTTTAAAAGCCACTTTCCTGAAGAAGATGATGACTGCCTACAATAAGTTTAATTTTGTGATTTTTCATTGGTGAAGAGAAAGAAAGGTCAAAAATATAATATAATATGTAATAACCTCCAGGGCTGCTAGTAGCATCCTGCAGGATTTTGTTGGGTTACAGTAACATACCCTTGGCTCAAAGAACACAAGATATGAAAATAACAGCCACCACCAAGAACATTCAGTTTATTTATTCAAGGTCATGGGCAGTGGCTGCTCCTTGAAGGAGTTATGCTTGTGGTACTGTGTTAACAATGCCCTGGACTGTAAATGCAAACCTCACCACAGCTGCCTTAAAAGGTAAAATTAGTTCTATAGCAATGGCCAAGTTAGAAAAAGTAGGAATTGATGAACCTCATCACACTGGTTCTGCTTAAGGGCAGCATGGAAAATAATGGCACATTACAGGGCCTGCCTAGGGTACATCAGGGGTTCATCTTCCTGTACTCTACTTGAGTCCATTGAAGGGAAAATTCAGTACTAAATCTCCTTCCTCACCCTGAGTAGTTGAAATGGATGAGGATGATCTAACCTGATTTTTGCTATCAGATGCTATATTTTTGCTATCAGATGATTGGGATTTAATGTAGATTATAATTTCTAGGGAGAAGCTCCACAATCTCATAAAAGTTCTTGCCCAACATTTTTTCTCTCTTGCTTTATTAAAGCAAAGTTTGTGCTCTGACTCAGGTTCCCCTACAGAAGTTTCCACAGTACATTATATTTTGCACCAGCTACATTATTTTTTTTTCTAAGTCCATTCATATATACAGCTTTTTAATTAGTATCTATTATTTTGCATTTCCAGGCAGCAAGTGTCAATTCTAATCAGTATTATATTTGCCATATGTCATGCATTCTAATACATTTCACAGAATCTTTTTATTCAATGGAAGTCTAAAACTGCACTGAAAAACAGCTGTACATGAGTCTACTCACAGAAGAACTGGCAGGTTTAGGTAAGTTTGTTTACCTTCACTTTCAATTTTCTGCTTTGCACATGGGATATCACATTCCCATGCTGAGTATTTTTTTCAGGATTTGAAATGAACCTTTGTAGTACATTTTATTTGTCCTCTTCCCAATAAATACCAAAACTCCAAATCCCTATTGCTACACTGTGACAGTGGTGAAAACACAGGTCTGAATGGCACTCTTCAAAAAAAACCCTATATTTCTCTAAGAAATAGTAATTACAATGGCTTAAATATAATTTTATTGGACACTATCCAACTGCTTTTGCTTTACAAATAACAAAAAAAATCCTGTTGTATAATCACAGTTTAGTTAATCTGTCAAGCAAAAGTTCCATGACTCTTGTATTTATAAGCTCATCTATACTCTTACCAGCATCATCAATTATAATTATGTCAAGCATTTTCACTATGAGACAACGTAGCTGATTGTGAATTCTAACCTTGCATCCTTCCTCTAAGAACTTCATCCTCTGTAGGTCAAATTCAGCTCTCCAAGATACCAGAACAACACCCAAATCTGCTAAACCTTGTATGAGATTCAAATCCTCCCACAGAGAGACCCCAGGAAGGCACCTGGGAGAAGCTGGGGCAGGGCACTGAGCAGTCCTGGGGAGTCATGGACACTGACAACAGGCTGGAATAACTGGTGTTCTGCAACAAAAATAGTCTCTCTTTTTGGAAAGTACTCTTTCTTTACCCTGTAAGATTTTTTAAAAATAGTACCTTTGGTTGGGTTTTGATTTGTTGTTGTTGCTGGCTGTTTTTTTCTGTAAATCATTATTGTCAGTGAGGACAACCTGTCTTCCCTTGCTTTAATTTCACCATCTCTGAACTTCAACAAACACGCAATCAACTGTGAAATAGGTTGACTAAGAACAATTGCACAGTTTTTCATGTTCTGTTATTGCAAGGAATAAGTATTAAGTATCAGTGCCCTCACTATGAAAGGAAAATAATGTGATAAAAAGATCAGCTAGTGATGTAATAAAAAGATCAGTTAGCCTGTGTTTGGTAAGTGAAGGAAATAACTTTCCAACATTTGAACTCTGACTTCCTGTGGACCTAAAAATGTCCTTCATGCAGGAGACAGCCTGTACCACTGATAAACCTTATAGTCACAGATATTTGCTGCTCCTCACATCTACAAGCAGACAATTTCATAGGCCCAGCCCAGTCTCAGAAATGGAAGAAATGCACATGTTCAAGACTAAGCACTCCTGGAAGATAAATACACAGGACAAGGAGTGGCTGGTGCAGCTCCAGTGTAAAACCAAGCACACAAAATTCAAGGAGGTTCTTTTATTCTGCTAGCAAACAAAAGGGAGACAAACTGCATGATTTATAATTTGGAAATATTTCCCAAAGGCCAGGGTACTTTCATTTCCTTGGCCTTCTGACAGCAAGGTCCACAAGGCTTGAATACTCCTGCAACTCTGGCCCAAGAAAGGGTTTAGTTCCAACTCTACTAGAAGTGCATTAAATTACTACCAAAGAGTTAGAAGTGGCCAGCAAATAATTCAGACTGATTCATTTCAGTGGCACAACTGAAATGTTGTGCCACTGAAATGGCCATAGGACATCTCAGGGTGATGACAAGTTCTAACCAATTCCATTTTTAATTAATACTTAAGCCATCATCCTGATTTCAGTTCTGTATAGATCCTAAACAAGACACTAACTATTATCCTAAGAGTAGCTCATGAAGTGACCAAACTTCTACCTGACTTCATGTATCTTGTCTAATTTTAGCCTGTATTTTTGCCAAAACTGAGAATTAAAGCCACATCTACCCAAGCAAGTGACTTGCCCCTCATCATCTCTTCCATCCCATCTACTCCATGCAGTTTAGCACTGACAGGAGAACACCATAGGAAGTAAAACCAAATTCTAGTGTCTGATAATCTGCAGCATGGTTCAGTAGGTAGACTTCATATGACAAGTCCTGTGGTACAAGCCTGTATTTATGCCTGCGATATTCTTCAAGTGAAACAATAATACACAGAAATCTCTTGTACAGAAAAAATAATATCCAGATGTAGTGTGTTCAGTCCTAAACACACTAGAACTGTGAAAGCCTCTGTCAGAATTTTTTTAAGTAATTCAGAAGTCACTTCCTGTAGTTGGGTTCAGCTGCTCATTGCTTCAGGCACTTATATGATGTAATTTCATATCCAAAGGTTACAGAAATTGCACTCTACTTTTCTATAATTACCTCTTTAAAAAACTGGCTTAGGTACCCATCACAACTCTTTACAGTCTCACTTTGGCATATTCAAAAGTAAACTGGAAGTTGCAGACTTTGCTCAGAGATAAGTTACTGTCCATCCCCTTAAAACTGGCATTCTGAAGCACCCTGTCATCTTACAAGACTGTTGTATCTTCATTCTCCGTACATATCATGTACACTTTTCTAAAATTTGTTGACTGGGGTGGTAATGAAAGGATTGTGTTTATTTTCCCTGATCCACTGAGGAAAGGCTGATAACTAAAGATGGAACATGAATGGCACATCCTCTAGAGGCCCCCTTCCCAGCCTGGTACCAATCCCTGGACTTGCAGCCAAGGTGGACCTCAAACAGCCAACAGTGCCATGTGACAGCTCAGTGCAACAGAGGATTTCAGCAGTAATTTCAAAGACAGAATTAGGACCAGTGCTGTCTGTGCAAAATGGCACGTTACTAAAAATGCCACAAACCACAAAGCAGATGTTAACAGCAATTAAAACCCATGAAATAGATGAGCTTTAACTAAAGCACGAGTTTGGACTGCTGGAGTGGCAGAGCATGCTCTGAAACTGTGCAAGAGAAATGCTACATCATGCAACATTTCCCCATGTGGCTGCAGAGGGGAAATGGGAGTAGAGAGGGGATTGGAAGCAGCAGTCTCCACCAGCATAAAAAAAAAGAAAATCTAATCAAAACAGTAAAAAATAATTAAGGGGAAAAAATTAGGAACCATCCTAACAATGAACTATGAAACCACCAGAGCAAAATAATGAAGCAAACTACTGGGAAAGGAGGGAAACGCCACCCTGACACAAAGGAAAGGAGTCAGTGCAGATTTTGGGTGAGCTGCAGAATGTCTTTTCCTGTGCAATACATAAATGAGACCTGTCTCTGTTTCAGATCCCCATCAAGGTTAGCCCAGTCCAGGCTCTATAGCCGTGTCCAGGAGCTATTAAGCTATTTGCCTGGCTGGACTAACACATCCTCTTAAAAAAAAAAAATTAAAAATGAAAACTAAAAAAAAAAGGATATCTAGCATTTTTTAAATTCCTTTATCTTGATAATAATTTGATTTATACATGCATTGGTCCTTGATTTTTCCAGTGCCAACCTCAAACTTTAGAATTTTTAAAGTAGAACACTATCATTTATGATTTTTTAATAAATAACTTAATGTTATTTCTTGCTGAAAATGCTGAGTAAGCAGCTCCTAAAATAAGTTCTTCTTAACCCAGATTTTTTTTTCGGATATGAAACAATTGCAAAGGGATTACTGGCCTACCTGCCTTAATTTGAACCATACATGGTGCACGACTTAGGTATTTGTGTATTCATGTCACTTGTCTGTGAGATGTATTAGTCATACTGCCTTTGACCTATTTTTCATGAGCAGTGACTCCTCTTCTATTGAGCATCACGACTCTGCCAGCCCTGTGACTACAAGCCATGAATTGACAAAAAGAGTGCTGATCCTTAGGGCTATTTATTTCTCTATTGAGGGAAGAGGGAGCGATAACACACCACAGTTTGCCCAGCTGGGTAATAATACAGGATCATGAATGATTAAAATCCACATGCTGTAAAACTCACCTTCGCTATCTCTCTGCTGATGCATTAAATTAAAATCAATAATAGGAGAAATGAAGTGATATTGCTCTGACAAAAAGAATGACAAAAATAGAATTACATGATATGGCAGGTGATCTCACACAATACAGACATAGGAAGTAAAGAGAGTAAATTTACTTGGGGAAAAATAACAGATTAAAACTAAAAATAAAAGAATTGGGATTTTTAAAACCTCTCCAAAAAGGAAAATCCCCTCTCAGAAAACCAGAGAGTTACAGCTGTTAATTTTCATCCTTTTAGCAGGTATCACCCCTTTTACATTACACAGCGTTTGCAGGAGGAAATGGTGCTTTGCGTTAGCTCTGCACTGTTTCCCAGAGGGCTGCAAGCCTGATTTTAAAGTGCAAGTCACAAGGCTTTTTTATAATTGCAAATGAGAGCACATCGTGGCACGCTGGCTTACCTCCACAGCTGGCCCCATCAGCTTGCACACTGCTCTGGGCTGCAGAAGGGGCTGTGTCCCTGGGCGCCGGCAGCTGGGCAGTTTCCTCCTGGGCTGGCAGAAACGCAGAGCACAGATCCGTTTCCAGGGCTTGCAGCTTCAACAAAGAATTCTGCAGACAAAAGCAGAACATTGGGCTGGGTGGAGAACAACAGGGATCAGCAATTGCTCTTCAACTCCCGGAGCCCATGGGCAGCTCCTGCAAAGGGGTGTTCCACCGCCAGCTCCGGGAGGACGTGGGGAGAACAAACGTGCACTATTCCATGAGTTTCTTGACTCCTGCTTATTTAAGTCCCAACTGACATGGATTATTCATGGCACGTGGGAAAGATGACTTTGTCAGCAAAAGGCGATTTATTCCGGGAAGCCAAGCAGAGGTGGTGTCCCTCTTCTTGGGCTTGGAGCAATATATTAAGGAAGTATTTCATTCATTGGGCTGACATCACAATCTGATGACATTATGTCCCTCCCCATTTACCATTCATAAAAAATCAAATCTCCCTCTCCAGCCTGGGAGTGCAGTACACAGCAGTGAACAAAGGGTTACTGACAGCACGATCACTCAAGGGATTCTTGGGAGAGACATTTTTTAATTGGCTGGTTTAGAGATACTTCATTATGTAGACACGGCTTTCATGTGGGCTGCTGCCGGTTCTACAGGGCAGCAGATCCTTTGTGATCCTCTGCAAAGGTAAAACCAACACATCATTGTCACTGGCTGCAGGCAAATCAATGACAGGGACAGTTATCTGCCACATCCCTTCCAGCCTCTGTGCCATGCGTGGTCCAGCTCTGATTTGAATTTTAATGCTGCATGCAGCACTGAGCTGCACGATCTGACAGAAGCATCTCGCTGTGATGGAAATGCTGTGAAAGCCCTAATCACCATCTGACTGGGCAAAATGAGTCACTCCCCACACCCCACGCTTTCAGCTCCCCCATCTCAAGGGAAATACTGCTCAAAACATGAAACAAAACCACACAAGGCTGTCCTAATAACCACACAGCTGGCACACACAGAATGTACGTATAACATTAAGTCACTCGAGTGATACATATTTATGAAGGACATTTTCTGAAGAAAATAATCTGAGATGCAAAAAGAAATAATTTCTCAAATTTATACCCTGGAAACTCTTTCCCTCACTCTGTCAAACACCTGAAACCAATTTATTGATTCATTTAATAAAAAATGAATTGATTTATTGGCCTCATTTCCTTTGTGTGACAATGCGTCACCTACGTAATGAGTAATTTAATACATCTTTGCATTATTTTTGTTGTAAGACATCCCTTTTGTAAACCCAAAGATAACTTTTGGTTAAAAAAAAATCAACTCGGTTGTCTGAGAAGACCAGGGATGATGGTCTGCTTTTATCCTTTCATTCCTTTTATAAAATTCAGGAATTTTATAAAATTATGGAAACCTTCTCACCCTTTAAAGCTTTCAGGGGGCAGTGCATTTCCCTGTCAAGGGAAGGGTGCTAACTTGCATCATACATATGGCACTGTTTTGGGAAGTCCTCATTTCCCATTGTCTGTCATCCCAGCTAAACCCAAACAAAGTGGCTGTGGAATTATCACAGCCAGGCAGAGTTTTACAGTCATTAATGTCATCTAGAAAAGATGACTGTACCAGTTACAAACCAGTGAGGACTCTGATCCCAGCCTGGACCTTACCAGGAGAACAGCTGATGAAAATTAGGGAGAACACAGATGACAACCAATAACAATGTGCCAATAAGGAAAATGTAAGTGAATGTCTGATAAAAGGACTTAACCTTCATGGACTGTTACTTCAAGCATTTGACAAGAAAAATCCCATTTCAAGGAAATACATTCACTTTGCATCACTATTCCTTATGACACATTGATATTTATGGGAAGTTCAGCGTAAAAGCATTCTCACAGACTACATTGTTAAACACTGTATTTCACCAATGCTTATGCTCTTATTCACCAGCTGGTTTATATTCAGTTGCTCTAAGTGATATTTTTCACCCATCTGGGGAAGGTGGGTGGATAGCAAATTTCCAGCCAGTGCCAAAACACTTAAAAAAATCATATAATAATAATAATAATAGAAATACCTTATCTATTTTCATGAGTGTGCCCGTGACAGGGATTTGAGAAAAACACTAAGTAGCTTTGATTGTCTTGATGTTACCAGGGAGATGATGACTCTGGAGTGTACCACCAAGCCCATCCTTCTCCCAAACCACAGCAGAGTGTTACAGCACTGCCACGCTGCACTGCCCAGGAAAAGTCACCACAAATTAACAGGAAACGTGGCAGGAGACACAACTTAGAGCAAGGCCACACATCTGCTCTGGGGAAGAACCAGCCTGGGCACACACTGCTCACAGCTCTGCCACAGCCAGACCTGTCCCCAGGGCCACCTCTGCCCATGGCTGCTCAAAGGGAGCTGCTAAACATGTGAGAAGCCAGTGCAAACAGCTGAAACACACAGATGGAAAAGTCAGGCCATGGTGGGCATCATCATCAATCTGAGAATGCCCCTACGTGGAAAAACAGCATAACTGAAGTAATTGAAGCTATGGTGTCCTAAGATCTCAGCTTCAGATTTGGTGTTCATTCCACGTTCATTATGGTGCCTAACATGAGTTTTTCTGATGCAGTAATTCCTGATCCATGCTAATGTAAATGAAAGGACATATGACTACCTCAAATGGATCCATAAATTGCCTTGGAAAAATAACCATATTGTTTTCTCTTAAGAAGACTATCCCAAAAGTCTGAAAAAGAAGCAATTATAATTTCCTTGGACAAAGGTTTCTTATCTCTTCTTATGTCCTCTTAAAGCAACGGACAATTCAAAGATTTTAATCTAAGCCAATTCCATGAGAGAAAAAGCATTGTACATTATTATAAATAATGGTAAAATTAAGATATTTATAGGAAGTCAGAGAAAAACAGGAAGAGAAATAGCGTAGTCCTTCTCAGCCATTTGCTATTTTTGATGATACTTTAAGAAAACACAGTCACTGAAGTTCCATAGCCTTGTCTGCTGGAGAAAGCACAGTACAAAAGGACTGCCATTCCCAGAGGAATCTCAGCCTGTAGTAGAGACACCTTCTCCACAAACAACTGAGCCTGGATCCACTGATCATCACTCCTTCCAACCACTGATTGTTGAAAATGAAGAGGGGAGGCCTTAGGACAAGGAATTACTGAGATAACAAATAATCTCTTTCGTCCAGATGAATGCCACACACTGTTAAATCCCTCTGGAGAGTGGGACACTGGAAGAACAAATTCTCCCAGTTCCTCACCAGAATGCTGTGGCACTGAGGGGCAGAACCCTGACATGGCACGGGGCCATGCCCAGGAGGATCAGCACTGTGGGATGTGCTGGTCAGCATGTCCAGGAGCCTGACAGGAGACTATGTGACAAATGAGAGCCCTGCCCTTAGAAAGAATTTATTTCCCAGATAAAGGATTACTATTATCAGCATCCTTTGTCTCATTCTTGTGGACATCCAAAGGTTTGATAAATTTAAGAACTGAGGGAAAGGGAAAGGACTCACATGTGTCCCAGCCATGAGCTCTGCTCAGACTCAGTCAGGAGGCTGACAGCAGAGGTGAGGAGCAAAGCCCAGGCTTGGTTCTTCCTGCATAAACTGGTATCACCCTGACCCCCACAGGGTGTTCCTGAATAAAAAGGATGCCTGCAGCCTGCCTCTGGGCCTGCTCCTGTGCTTCCCAGACAGGAAGGCAGCTATTCTATTATATCCAGTTTATTGATGGATTTACTGGATTTATGAAATCGGCTGGGGCAGAGAAGGAGAGTAATCCAAGCTTTCAGCATTTAATAGCCTTTGGAGTGATTCATATTGGAAAGAAACTGAGCAAATTTCAACCTGTTCCATTTTTTCACTCCAAGGAAATTAATGATTTTATATGTCACACTGGAACAGCTTTTTAATCTGAGGGTTCAGGTTAAAATAAGATAGGCACATTTTATGCGAACATAAATAAATCTCTGCAGTATCCATTAAGGCAATATTTGTGCCTTGAGGCATATGACATTTTCAATTCAGAACTTCCTTTATGGGGAACAAACAAGAAACAATAAGATAGAACAAGATATGCCCTGGGTCTGCATAATGCCACGGGTGAGCAGTGAAGAGAGACACCATTTTCTCTACTCCAGAAAGAGAATTTTTCTTATGCACAGGTTTGCAATAGACCTGAGACACAAAATAATCTAAGATTTTGCAAAAGAAAGTGCCAGGTTGTAACCCTTGCTGATTCCTCATTGGTTATTAACAATTTATTTTAGCTTCTAAGCTAATCATTGGTTTTAATATTTTACACTGATTTATTACAATATTTTTTCTTAGCCTTTAAGGAATCTTTTGCAAGGATTTTAAATGGAAGCTTTCAAGCAGAAGCTTCAGTGAATATCTGCATTGGGGCTTCTCAAAAGAAACAATAACTTAATGATTTCTCCCAGGGCCTGAGGTGGCTCTACAGAGGCTGAGTGTACTCTCTTGTGTTGTCACTGAATGTGCCCTGCTTGTCAGCATTGAGATTTTCTACAGTGAGCTGCACAACAGTGACACAAAGTGCAGAGAAAACAATTCGCTGCAAGGAGAAGATTAGGTCTGAGCTCCTTTAAAAGGGCACATTGTGGTCTTCCCCTAATGGAAGTCAGGCATCTATTAATAGACACAGATGTTCTCTGGCTCGTTGTGGAAACAAAGCCTTCATTCCCAGAGTTTTTCAGGAATGGGCTTCTCTTCTCCCGCTGGGTTTGTTGTGTTGTCTTGGCCCACACTAAAAACCCAACTGCCCTGGCAGAGTGAGTGGACTCTGGGCTGGCTGCAGGGTCCCCAGGTGTGGGAAGATATTTTATAGGGTTTCCCCTTGGCATAACTGCAAAGCCTGGCTTTACCCCCTGCCCCTCCCAGGGTCCTGCTGGCTGTGGGACCTCGCCCAGGCTCATCCATTGCTCGATGTCATCTCACCAAGCTTTTTGTGCTTCACCCACACTGTGCTCCTGGCACAATCCCGTGAAAGCAGCTTCTTTCAAGTGTCACTGGTGTTACTTGGCTTTCCTTGCTGCCCCTCTTCAGCTCTTCCCTCCTTCCATCTTACAACCAGAGCACCTTTTAGACTCCATTGTACTGTTCCTAGCTTACTTATGCAGGATGTAGCAGCCTTGAGAACTCCTTATTTTTAAACAAAACATATTTATGGTTTATACATGACATATAACATACATATATATATATATATAAACATATAATATATAACATATAGACAGTTCATATTTAACAGATGAACCATTTTGAGCTGTAATACGAGGAAAAAATCAAACATTCTTGAAAGATGTCCCTTCACTCAGTCAATATTGAATGTTTGATTATTTTCTGAGCATAAAAAAAGCAACCTAAAACTGGCTTAAAAAAATTTAAAATCTCTTGCTTCTAGCTTTTAAACTATTTTAGCAGTCTCATATCACATTTTTAAGCTTTTCTTCAAAAACATGACTACAATCATTCATTAAGAAGCTAATCTAGGTTTATTAAGCAATTACATTATTCCAAGACCTTGAAATTAACAAAAAAACCAAAACATCTATTCAAAATTCATAACATTGTATTTCAACTTTTGGTTACACTTACCTCATTTAAGCTGTTAAATTGATCAGTTGCTTCTTTTGGTGAAATGCTTGTGCTCTGATCTATTCTACAAAACAAAATTTAAAAAATCATTCAATAGATTGTCTATCTGTGCTGCAAATATCTCAAGCTTTTCATCATGTGTGTATGTAATTTATAAATTACAGAATAAAGAAATCTCTAATTTTTAACCCATTCAAAACAACAGTGGTTTTATTGAATCCTAAATAGTACATTTAAACTGTTAATGAAGTCCTGGAAACTACGACATTAACATCTGGGCTCATTCTGTCATGTTAAAAAAGTTCTACGGATGTATGATCTGTGACTTGGTGAGCTAACAGGGTTAATGCCAAGAAAAAGCTCAAACACAAGCTTAAATCTAAGCACAATTTGTCCCACATGCTTTAAATCAGGAACAACAGTTTTCCCATATCACAGCCATAAAGAATAAACTTTCCATATTTAAATTTGATGGCATTTCAGGCTCCCAATCTTCAGCATTCTGCTTTTGCAAATTTCAGCAAGGCCCCAGGTGCCTGGAAATCCTGCAAGAGAGATGTCCTCATTTTCTGGTGAGTGTCACTTGGCTGCCATCAGAGATGTCCACACCTTTGGTTTTCTCTCAGTGCATTGCTGTTTCTCCATGTGAGAAGAGGAAAGGCCCTGGACTAGTGAGGGACAAATCTCTTCCCCAGGCTGTGGCACTGAGGAGCTGTGCCCCACCCAGGCAGACGTGACCCATTACAGCTCCCAGATCAGGGTTAGGTACTAATTCACTACACCAAGGAATGAAACTCAAGTCTGGACACAGCTTCCCACAGACTGAGCAGCCCCAGCAGCACTCTGTCCATCCCAGAACAAGCTGAGGCATCCCACACCTGATTTCAGAGCCTGACATGGGGGTACCACAGGCTGCCTCTTGACTCAGGGGAAGCAAGAGAGCTGCAGCTGTCTCAGAGACTGAGACTTGTCAGTGCTGAAAAGGTGCTGATGTCTCCTGGCCCCTGGAGACTCACTCAGAGATGTGATCAAACCCAACACTAAGCCCAGATTCCTTTGCACAAAATAATTCATATTTTTCTGGGCTCAGAGTTATCCCAGCAAAAAGAAATAGCTGTAAAATCCTCTAGAGACCTCAAACCAGAACAAAGAGATGCAGAAGTATTTGTTGTAATTCTTCCTGGATTTGTGAGGCACTTAAAGACTGAAATGATGGCTATGCCACAAACCAGACACATTAGATAGCTACACCAGGTGAACTTGGCTCCAAACAGGATCCAAGATGTGCAATTCCCATAGGAACAGAAATGAGTCATGAGAACGGCAAAAGGACTAATTTAATAGGAAAGAGTGAAATATTTGTAGTTTGGTTTAATAACATGTAAGGGGGCAGCTGCAAGGCTACAAACAGCTGAAGGACTAATTCACTAATGAAGAAAAAATATTTAGGGTCATTTATTGCATTGAACTAGAGCTAGACATGAAGGAAAGGATGAGAACAACATGTGAGATTTGAACACTTCTGGTATTCATTTGGATAACTTCTTTCAGGGTGCATAACAGAGCAAATGAGAACTCCCCTTAATAATATAAAAACAAAACAAATTTTCTTTAAAAGACAAAAACAAACAGTAAATTCTGAACTGTACAAAGTTCTACATTATTTACAGCTGTACATCTCACAAGTCTTGTACTCTGGAGAGCAAAAGGTTTACAGCAGCCATGAGGAGCCAGCTCTCTCATTCAGGCTGATGTTCTTGCCAGCTGTTTTAGGATGCCTTTAATCTTTCATTTTCCTGTTCCTTTTTACACTAGAAACAGTGGAGTAAGATGCTATTATTTATGCAGTCTTTGGATTCTGGAGATACTGAAATCATGAAGATGAGTAACCATTTCTGTGTGATGAGAATTTACATTTTCAGTCTCCTGTGTGCTGAGCTGATCTTACTCTATGCAGAAAGTTTTGGGGTGTGCTTTTTCATTTTCACCAAGATTAATTGCTCTGCTAGGCAAATGCAGGTTTTCTGATTGTCACCAGGCAACACAGGGCTTACCATTTAATAACTATGGTTTGGATCCTACTCTCATTAAAAGTCAATCACAAAATATCCATTAACTTCAAAAGCAGCAGGAACAAGCCCTCATTTTCCATCTGTGCTGAGTACATTAAAATTATTTCAGGCCTTAGCTGAAATTTTGATTAATTGCAGGCACCCTTATTTTGTATAATTTACATCCTGTAAAATAATGAAAATTAAATTCTCTCTGTGGCTGCTACTCAAATATATGTCTCTCACCCTCCTTTATAGACTGGCTTTGGCAGAATTATCCTTTTCTCCATGACAGAGATGGCAAAGATGCAATAACTAACATGTACATTTGAGGCTTGTGGATATAAAAAAAAAAAAGAAAGAAAAAAACCCACCTAAATTCTAATTATCATAACAGAGCTCCTACTAGACTTCAAGGGGGAAATAAATTTGCATGAGCACTGTGCTGTTTAAAATACAGACCAGGACATGTGAATTTTTGAATTATGCACAACATCACTTTTAAACCTCCATAAAATTCAAATAAAACCACATAATTTTAAAAGCTGGGGAAGATGTTTGAAGATAACCTAAGCAAATCCCCACGACATTTCCTCTGTGAACCCCAGAAAGGAGCATTACATTTTGTACCTTGCAAATGTCAGTCCAGCCCAGCTCTGGTGACACAAACCCCGTCCCAGGCTGTTTATGTGTTTATGCACCACAAGGCCACACGTGTGTGGTGTCTTGGCATGGCTAATGCCAGGTGAGTCCTGCCCCTCACCCTCACAGGATTTTGTGGGATGAAACTCCTTTTCCAGAGTCACCTTCAGCCTATCCTGGCCCAGCTCCTCCCCTGAGTCCAGTCCAGGAGCCAGTGAGGGTGACCCAGGTGGTTCACAGCTCACCAGTGGCAGTCTCAGTTCCCTGGCAGGGCACTGATCCAGCCTGTCCAGAGTTACAGCAGAACATGAGGAAAAGGTTATTAGAAAATAACAGAAGGCTCCTTTCTGAGACCTTCCCAAATGGCAAAAAGCATCATGAAATCCAAGCTGCTGCAGGTGGATGTTTCAAAAGCACACCTATGACTCAGAAAGCAATGCAGAACTGCACAAAGCTTTGGGGCAAACATAAAGTGCACACCTACAACAAGAGAAAAATCTGCCTTGAAGGGCCCAAGGGCACTCCCTGGGCAGTCCCAGAGTGCTGGAATGGGAAGTCAGACAGAGAGCCAGTGTAGCAGTGTCTGACTCATTAGTCCCAGCCCTTGTGCAGCCCAGCCAGCTCTTGTTATTCTTACCATGAGCAGCTCTCGTACTCAGCAGGCACAGTCCTTACTGGGGCTGCAGCAAGAGCTGCTCTTACCTTCCTCCTCTATCCTCTCCCCATCCCACTCATTTGTTGTTTTTTTTTTCTTTAATTGCATTGCAGCCCAAAAGCTTGTTCAGAGACTCTTCCCTGCCTTGGTACAAGAAGTATCACTGTGACCATAAACACCAGTATTTCAATACCACCATCCCCAAAGAAATTGTTCTTTGGAACCAATCAATCATTTCCCAACTTTCTCCCTGCTCACCAGGCTGCCTGTGCAGGAGGGGAAATGCAGCCTCTCAGGCTCTGCCTCAGCCACGCAGGTCAGCATGGGGATATCAGGACTTCTGCAGCTTCCCTGCTGCCTCCCAGTCATCTCTGAGTTGTAGCTATTCAACAAAAACTGCAAGCATTCCCACCTGAGCTGCACTCTCAAAATATACCTGCCTTGCAAACTTAAATACTGAAGCCTTGCTAGAGCTTGGCCTCCCCTCAGGGAAGCTCAGAAACCTCAGGAGGCTCTGGCTGACCCCAAGATGCAGGGCAGCCCTGGGCTACCAGCACTTCCACTTCTCCTGCAGAACAATCACAGGTCTGACAGCAACTGCCCCCCTACAGCCTCTGCCAAAAATAGAGCCATAGAATCACAGAATAGGGACAAGATAAGACCTGTTGGATGAAACCACTTCATTCCCAGTCTGTTTGGGGAATGGTGAAGAGGGGGAACTTTCAGGAATTTTATTTTGGCAGAAAAATTCACCCCAAACTGTAGCTCTGAATTCCACACTGACTTGACATGCAGCCTTCACTGAAGCATTGACATTCCCACTGCCAGGGGTGTTTTGTTTCAGCCTGCTCTCTGTAACATGCATCTGAGGAAAGCACCAGGCTCTGCTCAGGTAACTGCACACAGCCTGCAGCCCACTCCAGTTTTGCTGATTGCCTTTGAGAAGGCAATTGGCAGAAGCAGCTGTTGTAATCATGTGTATTGTTCCATACTGGCTTTTCTAGTCTCTGTTAAAAAAAAAAGGCAATTCCTTTATTTGTTCCCAGGACCTGCTTATAACTTTTATCTGCCTTCTATCAAGGTGTAGATTATATTGCACTCATATCCAAACCCAGCCACACACAATGACCAGAGCAGTATTCAGTGTAATCTCTGGCAATAGTATTAGAAATTCATGTTCTGGAAAAAAAGGTGTAAAGGTTCACTTCCCTGCAGATGGCATTTCATCCACTAAATTGATGGTGATTTTCATAAATCATACATGGTAAACACCTCTTGAGGTTGAAACTCTTGCTTCACAGGTCAGGTTCAGCTTAACCAAAAAAAAAGACACTATTCCCTTATTCATCTGGCTGCAAATCTCTTCAAGGCTACTCTTCCATTTCCCTCAAATCCCACAAAACTTTCCTTTATTGTTTCAGTGGTTACCATAAAATGAAAGCACCCCCTCAAAGAAACAATACACACTTCTAAGTCATGATTCTGTGGGTTGTTGCTCTTACATGACCTGGTTTATTCTTCTCTGTCACACATCTGTTTATGAGAATCCTTTGTTAGAATATCCTAAACTTAGATTATTCTGCTTAACAGGAACTGTACTGAAAAGTTTTTCATATTTCAGCAGTCTTAAATCCATATTTAGACAAGTTAAAATGATCTGGTTTTTAGCTGCCTCACAGATTTCTTAAAAACCTCTGTAGAGTTCAGAGGTATTTAGACCTTTAATCCCCAAAGAGAATAAAGGCAGAGATATATTCTCCTGCAGCAACTAAGTTAAAGCAGAAGTAACAACAGTATTCACTAGAAACAATCAACCTTGATCCTTTATTTGTCCTTGCCCTACACATCTGATATATGAAGAGAGGTGTATAGGGACACCCCTACAGCAGTGTGTCCCTCCCCTCTCCTCCTAAACCCAGAGAGCTTTTAGTCTGACTTAGGGACACTAGGCAGGTGTCGTGTCACAAAGCATTGCTAATTTTGCCAGCAGCCCAGTGGAACCAGTGAAACACAGTGAAACTTGGGGCTTCTTTGAATTGAGATTTGATCACTGTGCTTGCACACCACTTAGAATGGTAAATCCAGGCATCTTTCTTCAACACATTTAGCCCTTTTGGACAGCAGGCTTTCAAGGGCTACCATGGTGTTAAACAAGAATAAATAGCATAGTGAATAGTGGTTTAATACCAGGCAGACTAAAAAGGCCAAACAGTTGAAGTGGACAGGGGAACTCTGCTGTGGTTGCTGTTTTATTCATGCACACTCTGGTTCTTGTCTTTCATCACATTCCTTTCAAAATTAACCAGTTATTTACTACCTACCCATACACAAACATCCCAGCAGCAGAGCCACTGGGTAGGTCTGATACCACACTCAGGAAGCTCCTCTTCACAAGTCCATGGGATTCTTTCCTCACATAAGGAATGCCAGAAAAAGAGAAGGCAGGCTTCCTAATTAGAAACACTTCCTGAGATGCAGTGTTTCAATTGCACATGCAAGCATTGGAGGGCAAAAGCACTTTGTTGACCCAGCTAATTAAATGCTTTTTCATTCTGCTAAGCCTTCCTTTGAGTGCACAAATTAAGATCATTTACAATGTTGCCTCCTAAAAGCTGTGGAGAAAGCAACCAGTTCATGTCACACAAAGCACCAAAGTGCCATTGGATGGCAGCTGTCACCGCTGTCCCACTCCTGACTGCAAACAAACCTTGAGCCAGGGAGCTCTAGCTGTCAACCAGCTGTGCCTGAGCCACTGAGCATCCCTGGGATGGGCTGCTGCTGCTGCTTCAGACCCTCCAAAGGGAGCCAGAAACTCTGCCACAGGGCACCAAGGCTGTCATGCACATCAAGGCAAAGAGCAGAGACCTGGCTCACCAGACAAAAACTCTGTGCACAGAAAAGCAGAGCCAAACCAGCACCTGAACATGGGAAATTTCTAAAGCACTGCCCCCGGATTTATTAAGGACTTAATCTTATCCTTAGGACACACCTTCACTGGTCAGTTGGGTGAATTGAAATCCCATTTTTAGCCTTTTGGATGGCCATGATGGATGAAAGTAGAAACTGTGACTTCCAACACTTGCCAGAGCTGAGTGACTTCATCACCAGCTGAGTTACCTGCCATGAGGATGTGGTTAATGCCAGACCTGAGCACACAGTGCCCTTCCAGCACCAGAACGAGGACAGCTGCCACAGCACCCAGAGCCTAAACTGTACATCTATAGATACCCTTGCTATAATCAGGTGTGAAAGTTCCCATTCCCATTGCACAGAGAATGCAGCTCTGAGAAACAGAGGCAATTCAGCACTGGGGGGAAAGGGAAAGAAGTGGAGAAGTATTTTTGAAACTTGGCACAGAGGAACTGAAGTTTCTAAACTAAGGATGTTCTTTCTGCTTTGGATGTAAGGGGTTTAAAGAATGATTAAATTTGCATTCTTATCTTTATCCCTTTCACTTTCTCCAAACACTCCTAGATGTATAAATATAGAATACACTGCCAACAAGAGCCAGGAGTCTGAATATTTTATGCAGAAGGCAGCAGATGAATTAGCCTTTCCTACAGTTAATCAGAAGTGAAACGTGCTGTGTTATCCCAAGTCTTACCTTGGCTGGAATCTCACGACTGCTTCCTGGCATTTCTGTGCCACATTCTGTGCATAGTTATTAGCTGAGGATCCAGCCTTCCCCTGCCGCTCTGAGAGGCCTGGCAGTGCACACTCCAGCTCCTGCACAAAGAGAAACAAAAGAAAAGCTGAATGTGCTCTGTCAGTACCAATCCAAATTGGCTAAATATTTTCCCTCGGGAAGAAAATGCTCCATGAGACCAGGTGCTGGTTTAGGATCTTTGTTATTTTTTGGTAATTATAAAACAACTGGAGAACACAGGAAATAAAAGGTTCTAAACACAGTTATTTCATTGGAAAACAGTTTCTAAAACCAAAGCAGGCTGTAACTTTTCTGTTAAAATTATTACTTAAATAACATATTTCAGCTTTAGAGCTAAGAGGTTCTATACAAAGAATTAATTTGAAATTATTTACTCACACATCAGTAAGATTTTATTACTTGGGTATTTACAGATTTCAGCTTCAGAGCTAAGAGGTTCTGTACAAAGAATTAGTTTGAAATTATTTACTCACATCAGTAAGATTTTATTACTTGACAAGCATCAAAAAATCTGGCTGACAAAAGCAAGTGCAGTTAAATATCACTTAAATAAGATATGTAAAATTTAACCATTTGCCTCTTTCCCTTCCCTAACATATGTGTAGCCTTATGAATAGAGTATTACTCTGGGAGGCGGGAAAGGCAGTGAGGGGGGAAAAAGCCACATCACCCAATCTGCTGCACAGAAAATAAAAAAAGGCAATTTAGTCCAAAAAACTGAGTAAAAGAACAGGAATGAGAAAAGTATCCATTCGACTCCAAGCTTTTGAAAACCAGTTGTAGGGCTGTGAAAAGATGCATTCAGTACATCTCTATTTCCTTACCTATGAAATGGGTTGCAATATTTCCTTTGCGCTGCAATGAAATAAGTTAATTAAGATCTTTGAAAATGTGATAATCAAAGTGGGACTTTCTTCCTACCTCTTTATTAGCTTTTGTAATCAAACATTTTAGCCTAATAGTTTAAAAAATTAAAATACAATTCCCTCTGCAAAACAACAGAGCTCCCTTCCCTGCTAAAGCAATGTACCTGACTTTTCTCCAGTGTCAAATTTTGGTTGGATGCATGGAAGTCAAAAGTTTGGGTAGGACCCTTCAGAACTTGCAGGGCAGAGAGAACACAGAAATTCCAGGTGCTTCCTGCTGGATGAAGGGGAAAGCTGAGGACAAGAGCACATGCTGGCAATAAGCCCTTGCTTGCAGCCTTGATGTTAGAAAACTTGGGTGGCTTTGGGTTGTTTCTGTATGTTTTTTTTTCTCTTTTATGTCTTTGTTGCTGCTCAAAAATCATATCATTAGGGCGTTAACAAGTAACACTGGGGAAACACCCTTGGTGGAATCTGTTTCTAAAGAGCAGTGAAATCCTGATGTGTCACAGGCACCTACAGCAGAGCCCCATCTTCTACTGCATTTTTGTTTCTTTTTCACTAAAGAGGGTGACTTCTACAGTGAAATTGCATCATAATAAACATAGTATACCCAGAAACCAAAGCAAAACTTCCAGACTGCCTGATGTGTTTATGTGTTTTTGCAGCTGATGTGCCAATATCAGCTCTGACTTTTTGATTACTGTGCATTTAAAATCATAATTTGAATGTCAAATTATTGGAAGTTCTTTGACATACAAGCAATTTGCACGCTTCATTTATAGTCAAAATACAAAACTTTACTCAGCAGTTTTCAGCATTGTCATCTTTAGGCACTGATTGTCAAGCCACCATTTTTATAGCCATTTACCTTAATAACAAGACTTTAAAACTGAACTTTTACTGTCTCTCTGCCTATTAGCTAGGAAGTTTGGTGTTCTTTTGTAAATATGTCCCAGTATCAGTAGGGATTTTCAGGGTGACTCATTAAGGAATCCATACTCGTGACAGTGCACCAAAGGTGAGTGACAGGAGAAAGGACTGGGCAAGGAAAGCAGACTTTCCATTCCTCACCATCTGTTCTTACACTGACTCCCTGGAGTATGTTCTGGGCATATGCTTCCTCACCTCTTGAAGTCAAAGAAATCCTAATGAATTTGATTTCCTGTAGATGAGTGCTGCAGAACTGCTAAGGAAGCTGATGGAACCATGGGAAAGATGAAACCAAATAGCTGGAGCAGAGTGGTGCAGCCGCATTCCAGCAGCCTCCTCTCTTCCCATGTTCTGTTTGGAAAGGTTGCAGCTGCCTCCAGAGCCAGCTCCTGCCCCCAGGGAAATAACTGCAGGCAACCTGCGAATACAGCTTTACCCTGGTGACATTCTGCCATCTGATAAGTGCTCAAGTGAAGTCACCTGATGCTGCTCTTTTATTACTCTTGGGTTTTTTAATCATCAGTGTAAATCTAATAACCTTTTCTTCATGGAGACCAAAGGCACATGACCACAGGGCTACATTTATGCCAAAAATATCAGAGGCACAAGAATCACATTTCAGCTGAGAGCCTTGTGAAACTCAAAATCCCATCTTCCCTCTACTTGATCACAGCTGTCTGTTCCCTCTCAGGGACCTTTCCACAGTGAAAACCCCTTGGATTCTCACAACTAGAAAGGCACACCAAAATGGTTCCCATCCAAACAGACTTTGATCCTCCTAACACACACAGGAAACTTACTCATCTCCCAACAGCCTCCTCCAATTTTAAGGGGACAATCCTCTGTAAAAGAAATTCATGGGCTTGTAACACATAAGAGGGAATAGCAAGCAGTTCCTTGGCTTATCAGGGCAACACCTTTAGCAGAGATTCTGTCATTGCTCTGGTGTCACTCTTTCTGATGCCAGAGTCAGGCTGGGGAAGTGAGGAGCCTGCTGAAAAAGCACTCTGCCAATAATCCCAGGAAAGCAAGGATGAACTGTTTAGTCACGATGTGCAGCGCATCCTGCTTTTCTTTCATCAATGCATGTGCTCAGAAAGTGCTGTTTGTCAGCTGCTCAGGAGTACATTCAGTGTACATCCTTTATCCCATTCAGTGGCTGGGTGGCAAGGGGTTTCACCAAGGAAGGTTGATGCAGTTATAGTGTTTCATCACTTCTGTCTCTCCTAATTCAAACCCTTGAACCATGTGGAAATTATCTGCCTGGCCCTGTTTTTCCTTCCAGAGGCTGCATACTTTAGTCATGCTGGTGTTTCATGGCAGTCTAATTATACACTCAAAAAGTTTCCATGAAAGAATTTCACCATTTCCAGTTAGCCCCTTAGGGCCATGTAAAATGCCACGGAGCAGCAAATCTGTGCTCTGCTGGCTTTCGTTGGGTGAGAGGCACAGGCAGGACACAAACGGGCTCGGAAGAGGCTGAAAAAGCAACCAATGACCTCTGAGACAGACCTTGCCCCATTTACTGTTCTTCATGACTTTTCTTCCTGATCTGCTTCCACTTGCTCTTCACAGGGAAAAATTCCCATAATTTTTTTTCCATTCAGCTGATAAACATGCACACCTCATCTTCCTGCAGGTAAAATAATATTTCCTAGGAATTCAGTACAATGGCAAAAAATCCTCCCAGTTATTGCTTTATTTCTGGATCAGCTCCAGAAGAACAGACAGGAATTTCAGGGCAAGGGTTTGACATTGGTATTCTGAAAGAGACCGTGATAATGCCATTTGCCATTTGGTTTCCATTTTCCTTCAGGGATTCAAAAAGGACAGCTCTCACTTAGAAGCTAAGACATTCTGTCTAAAATGATGAAATCCCATTCTAAACTTGGTCCAAAATAATTCCTATTCTATGATAGGCTTGAAGTACTTTAGAAAGAGCTCTGTAAATTTCTATTCACAAACAAGAACAGAGGAGAGACAAAAAGTAGCCAAATAAATTATACAGCAAAAAGATGGAAATACAGACATCTGTATTTGTGTATGCACAATTTTATGTAAATACAGACATCTGTATTTGCACATGCCAGGCCTTGTGCCTACTGCAGACCAACAAATCTACCAACATTAACATTAACTATCTTGGATATGAGAATATTTCCAGCTGAGAGGTTAAATCTGCACATCCAACATGACTTGGGAAGCAGCAGGGAAGAGCAGAGGCATTTTCAGCAGCTGCTGAGAGATGGAATTCTAGAGTCAACAGAGAAAATGTACCACCAGAGACAGCAGCAGAAGTTTCCTCATTTCTAGTCTTCCTTAGCACCTTTTACAACATTTACAGTTCTGTTCCCCCCAGCTCAACCTAGGAAGATGGTGGGGGATAGCACTGCTACTAGTATGCACTGCTATGGCCTTACTACTTAAATATGGGGAAAACAGAAAGGAAGATGAAGGAAAACCATGAAATCCCTCTAGTTGCAGTAAAGGAGATCGTTGATGAAATAAACAAAACAGAAACTGTCTAAATAAATATTTGCACATCTTCAGCTATGCTCTCCACTCATTTCTGAAAGCAGTTGCAGCAGAATCCTCTCTGCAATTCCCTAGCAGAAGGAAACTGTTATTACAGGAGGGTTGCAGACTGCAGGTCCCTGGAAATCAGGGTAGATTGCTGTGGGGTCTCAAATCACAGCATGACTTAGCAGGGAGTCCCTCTTTGCATTTCAAAATTTGCTTAGACATTGTGCCACAAGCCTCCCCCTGGTAAGTTTAATTCTTTACCTGACTTTCCTCATGGCTTTTTCCATTTTCTAGCTTTGCAATGGGCTTAGGTTTCCTCAGCTTTAAGTTGCCCATTTCAGGCTTTACAGTGCAGTCAGTTAACACCTGCTGCTTGTGCTGCTGGGTGTCTTGCAAAGGCAGCTGCCTTTCCTCTAAGACAGCAGAGTTGTCCGGGTAATTTTCTTTGTTATCATCATCTCTGTAAGAAAATAAAATTTAAATGCATCAGGCAGGTTTTCAGACATCTGTCAAAACATTATGAAGGAAGAAGAGCAACAAGTTCTTAGCTATTTATGGCATATTGCTTTTACTAAATTTAGTGGTCTACACATCAGTTAAGGATCTAAGCTACTGTTAGCATTATCACACACTCAACTGTGGAGCTACTTAAATGTTTGCTTTAGAAGCACTCTTGGGCTTCTGACCTACAGTTCACATTCCCAAATAAAATCTGAAACTGTCTTTTTCATGCAGAAGACTTCCCCCACCCAATGATTCACAGTAAGCTATAACCTCACAAAAAATTCAGCACAGACAGTAACTCCTCTCAACAGCACACTTCCCTTCTGTTGGTCTCTGGATGTGAGGGCCATTGCACAGAGGGAAGGAGGAAGCCACTCAAGGTCTGAACAGCCAGGGATGTGTTTGGAGAAAACATCCACCTGTGTAAGAGACACCTGGTGCCTTGAACAGACACAGTTACTCGTGGATGCTTAATCTGGGACCTGGGACAGGCATTTCCAATCCCCGCCCAGACTACAGTGTGCAAGCTCTCTCCAAGGGGACCTTGCTGGTGTCACCCACACCAGTCACTCCATCCCCACCAGCTCTCATGCCTTCCATGATGAGCACCACGAAGTCACCGCAGTGCAGGAGGCAGCGCTGCCTCAGGAGCTGGCAGTGGCACTGCTGCTCCAAAATCCCTGCCTGGAGCTTGGGGTTCAGGTGGGATTTCAGATGTCAGCTCCAGCTGGCAGCATCCTAATGGTCAGCTGGGAGATGACCTCTCTCCTGGTGTGAAACTTCCACGGCTGAGAGAGTCAAGGCTATTGAATTAAATCCCCTTGAGATTAATTCTTTTTTTTTTTTTTCCAGAAAGCATAACTTGCTAGTTCAATGTTTTGGAGTCAAGGCTATTGAATTAAATCCCCCTGAGATTAATTCCTTTTTTTTTTTCCAGAAAGCATAACTTGCTAGTTCAATGTTTTCTCCTAAGGATTTTGAGCTGCCAAACTCACTTTCCATCTGTGGCCCATCAGCATCCAGATGGATGCTTGCAGGGTGCCTGTGGAGTTGAGCACCATTGCTGCCCATGCCTTCTGCAAGCAGGCTCCAAGGCAGTTGTTATAGTTACAGCTTTATAGCCCACGGGCACCCCAACAGTGTGCACCAGTGTTGATAATTTTGAGGTATCCTCTGATTTTAAGATCTTCCTGAAAGGTTAAGTTGCACACCCTAGCAATCAATATGTACTAACATAGCCATGAGAGAGGCATGCCTCAAGAATACTTCAGTTAAATTACAATTTAAAGGATTTCTGTTTCCCGGACACACTCATCAATGAGCACATCCTTGCACAGTTGCAAAACTCTGCTTACTACTGCTTTGCACCAGCTGCTGTACAGTAAAATTTGGTGTATAAGCACCACAGCTGCATCTGAATGACAGGAGAATGATGTGAACTTAAGAATACAGACCACAATGTATTTACTTACATAATAGCAACAGTAAATAATCTTCATATTGATCACACAAAAGTGCACGAGATAAACACATAGAATACATACAATAAATACATTCCCAGAAATACTAGCAGCTTTTGCAGGCAACAACCCTGAAATTCTGCATTCCCTTGAGAATAAAGGTTTCTTTCTAGTGTTTTAACAGAAGCAGTCACAGCTTCACTTGCTGCCAATGGATTTCAGACAAAGTTTGCAGGAGAGTACCTGGGACTGGAGCTGCCTGCTTGATCTTCATGCACAGAGTCTGAATACCCGTCACACCTTGAAAACGAATACAAGATAATTATTGGTTTTCTGCCAGCTGCAGAAACTTAGCTTTTAGTAACATTACAGTGCAGCTCATACTATAAACACATTTCTTCTTCTCCTCACACTTTAGTTAGGGTCATTTAATGCCATAGCTGCTCCATGATAGTCCAAGTCTCAGAGGAAGAAGAAGATTTAGATGTTAAGTGTGCACAATCTGGTATATTATTTTCAGACAAGTGGAAATAATTACAAGGAATTCAGATGTTACCATAAAAATCACAGGAAAATTATGAGAAATTCTGTATTCTAATTGCTTATAGTATACTTCACATTAACCTCAAAAATAATTAGACACAACTAAGGATGTTTTTCTCACAAACTCACAAAAATATTAACTATGATAGATCAATCACCCTTTATGCAGCAGGAAAAAAAAATCCCCAACTAAATAATGAAGTGAGAGTTAGTCTTAAAAAGTGAACTAGCAATATTTTTTAAGAAGCCTGAACAATCATAATCAATTACTTCCTTTAACTTACAAACAAAAGAATTGTTCCAAGGCTGCCTAATCAGAAGAGAAGTCTGGATAAATATGCCAAACCACAGCCACTGAGAGGACACTGGCTGCCTGGCTGAACTTTGCAGGATGATTGAACCTGCAAAGCCCACGGGCAGCCTTTCTTCAGATAAACATGCATCCACAGGCATGCACTCCCAAAATATGCAAACACCAAGCCTGGTATTGCTGGGGTAAAGTCAGGGCCCTCTCCTCACCCTCAGCTCATACTCACAGGGCACAGACACTAAGGAGGCCTGGATCCCTTGAAGTTTTCTGGCAGAGGAATCTCTTCATTATGGGGGAAGCAGCCTGTACTCCTGCTGACTTGTCAATTTTTGAGAACTGCCCCACTTAGAAGAGAGTACCTTAAGTGACACATTCATAGCTCTGCGTTGCAATTTAATGGCAAGGGTTTAATATATTCCTCTTCCCCACCAGTCTTCTGCTGGTGTCTATATCAAAAGTCAGACTGCAGCAGAAAATATTTAAAGGGCCACTCAAGTGTTTACACTTCCTGAATACATCAGCATATGCATGAGAGCATTTGCTGCTCACAACTGGAGCAGAGAACTCCAGTGGCAGATCACCCTAATCACACAATACTCCTGCAATGAGTGCAGCTTTCCCCACATGGCAGAGTGGGATGATGGATGGAAGACAGGGCTTGATGTGCAAAATGGGAAAATTCACTGTAGAAATCTGGGTGCCAGTCACACCTTCCCCTCGGGCCAATACCTGAGTGCCTCATAGGAAGCAGCAAGGGGAGGCACAGGACACACTGGGGGTTTGAATAACAAAGCCCAGTGTGAAAGGAACCAGCAACCTGGCTCTAGAACTAGAAGGAATATTTCACAGAGGTGAAACAACAGAAAGAAAATGCACTGGAAGGAGACAGTGCCAAGGTCAGAGCTGGATGGACAGAGCTCCCAGCACAGACAGACGAGAAGGAGAAGGTGCCACCAGGTGAGGTGTGCACCACGGGCCAAACCATGGCCAGCAAAGTCCAGGGATCCCCTAAAGGGACCAACTCTCCCTCCTGGGTGTGCCTCAGAAGAGGAGGTGGGAGGAAGAAGCTCTGTCACCAGTTTTGCTCCCTCTTCTCTCACTAGTCACCTCACTTGGCGGCCTCCTGAAAAACCACCTTGGCAGTGAGAAACACTCTCTGGAGGGACAATGGATGGCTGAGCACAATGGTCAAAGCAAGTCCAGTGAAGGAGCACTCTCCTTAACTGGGGGAGCTGGGCTGGCTCCACGAGGTGATCTGGAGAGGCACAGCTCCTAACTCAGCACCCAGCAGCTGACAGGAGTCATAAAACAAGACACAACTTATAAACAACATAATGAGTGTGACAAAATGTATTTGAGTAACTGGATGGCAGTAGATAGGAAATATAAGCATTGATGAGTCAGAGAATACAATGACCATCATGAAATTTAAAAGATCCTGAGGAAGTTCAGAAGAAACACACTCTAAAATTTTCCACCAAAATAAATAATAACCAGGAGAGCTCACTCACACAGGACAGTGTTTGAGGTTAGGACCATAGCAGGACCTTTAAAAAGATGGATTTTTGATATGCAAATATCCATCATTAAAACTCCATCATGGAGTTTTCCTACCTTGATTTCTTAAAGAAATGAATCATCTGTGTTCATGCCTCCTGTCTGCACATATCAAAACAAACACGTACACCTTCTTTTCCTCTCACCAGTAACTTGTAAATCTTGTTGTTTATCTTTAGCTGTATTTAATAGATAGGGTGATATTTGAGAGTTTGGTACGTTTTTTGATAGTCTGTGGCCATGTAGCAGAGAGACTTTTCACCAACCAAAAAACCGCAGCAGCATCTTCCTCACTCCTAAACCACCAGAGACTATGCCACAACAGCTGCAGGTCAGAAATCCAAATGGGTTGAGGCTTACATTGGGTAGGAAGTGTCTTTTAACAAAGCCAGTGGGGTGAATCCTCTCTCTTCAGTGCCCAATTCAGCTACTGACTAATGGATATCTCTTGAAAGTAAGAACATCCACTATTGATCTTATGGCACGGGCCAGAGTCAGGTCAGAGCTGGGATCCCAGCCTGGATGGAGTGCTGCTCTGACTCTGGCTAGTACTGCCTCTGTGTTTCTTCCAGGGTCTCTGGGTTAATGGGACCAGCTTCTTCAACTTTCTACCATTTTCACCTTCCCACGGGAGCCATTTCAGACCAGAGTGAGCCCTGCTCCCTTTTGCTGACCTGACCTTGCAGAAGCTCACGTGAGCAGCTCCCAAACCAGGCTGCATGCATAGCTTGCTGGGAGCTTGGCACCCCCAGGCACTTGCCTTGTCTGGAAAAATGTTCCTGAAAGTGCTCTAACACTGACTTGATTCCATTCAGGAAGCCCTGGCCTTGCCTTTGTCACAAATAAAGACAGAAATTGTTAAATGAGGATGCCTAGATGTGCATGGAAAACTCTCTTTCTTCTGCTAAATAAAAATAAATCTATTTTCATCTGTTTTCAGAGATGGCCAACACAAGCAATAAGTGATGAAATCAGTAAGAATTGTGTATCCTCAGCAGCTCTCAAAAGCTGATGTTGGGGGACTGCTCCAAATGAGATTTAGGGAAGACAACTCTGGAAACCAAGTTTGTTCAATGGGACAATGCTTTTCAGATGTCATTGTTCACTCCCTTTGTTTTCTAAAAGCAAATTTCTACCCCTTTGTTTGGGAATATAAGATTTAACATGAAATCCCACAAACAAGAACCAACAGCAGCTGAAATGAGGGAGATCCAACCCCTCTCCATCTCCCCAAGGGCAGGGCTGGCACCACACTCCCAGCTTTTATACCCTCCTGATTTAACATGAAGCCCACAGAGAAAAGCCATCACCTTTGGGTCCCAGAAACCTCGGGGGGAGGCAGGCTTAGGGACTTCTTCAGGGGAATCTCTACAGGAAACAATGGATGTACTTAGGGACAGAGGAAAGGGAAGGAGAAAAAAGGATAAAAAAATATATTATCTGTAATCTGGCTATTTTTCTGTGAAGAGGGAGAAACCCATAATTTTACAGACCAAAATTTATTACTTAACTAACAGGAACAAAGGAAATGAAAACAAACAAGCATGCAAGCAAACAAAAAACCCCTCCATGATTTATTAGCTTCAGCTCAATCTTTCCATATCTGCCCCAGTCACACACAAAGTGTGACTAAATTTAAATATTAAACAAAGCAAGGAAATATAAGCAAATAAAGCAAAGCAATATAACAGAGGGAAATTCTTTAGATCCCTTTGAAATATTACTTTTCCTGCAGAGGTTATGACAACACTTAGAGATGGCTCAGATGATTACAGCTTGGCCTGTTTTCAGAGTGTCCCCTGTCCCCCAGCACTCAGCAAACAGCTCATGTCCAGCTGGGGTGTTTAAATTATGAGCACTTTAGCAGTGTAAAACTCACCTATATACAAACAAATCCATACATCATTTTCCTCCTGAAAAACAACTTGGCTCCTTACTGCTGCAGAATCATCCCCAAAAGCTTTTGAAACAATCAAAAGCATGCAAAGTAAATATGCACAGAACACCAATATTGAAGTGGTTTAGACTAAAATAAGACAAAGACCATTTCATTTGCAATAGTTCCTAGAGGATTTGCCTTTCTAACTTTCTAATGTCCTCCCTTGTTTTGTCTGTAAAACAACAAGAAAAATCAACATATACATCCTCATGATTATGATATATACAAAAGGCCATGTAAGTAGTTTATGGAATAGATAATAAAAGAATGACATTTTTGCTACTTGGCCTGTATAAATAATGTATAGGGATTTTTCAAAATATTTCCTAATGATTTTTCTTTTCCTAACAATGCTTCTGGTAAGTACAGACCATGTGTCCTTAGAAAACAGACATGCTTGTGTTTGACAGGATCATCAGTATCAGAAATGAGCAATATTTTGACGGAGGTTCATCCAACACTGAAAATCATGCACTCAAATGTGTGTGATGTGCACCCAGCATACATTCTCCCAAAAAAGGGATTTCACTGCTAAGTAGTCACAGAGCATTTAAAAAGGCAGCTGCTTTATGCAATCCTTCCCATACAGGCAATAATATATTTAGATTACAGAAAACTCAATCCAAATATATGACAGATAGCTTGGGACTTCTCACATACCACTTACAATTATTCTGCACGGTAACTAAACTCATCATTCCTGTTTAAAAATAAGGACATCTTTAAAGTGTTCACTTACTCTGCTAAAGCTGTCGTGTTGAAGGACTTATCCTGAATGCTGAAACAGAAACAAGAAAACATCAGATAAATCAGCAAGGCAGGCAGGCTCCCTGTGTCCTCCTCAGTTGTAGGAACACATGCACAAACATGGCATTGCGAGGCACGTCTGTGTGCTGCTCTGCATGCACGGCTCTACCTTGGGCTGCTCTGCACATGCTCATAATCAAGGAACCACAGGGATTAGTCCCACAACACTCACAAAGCCCAGCCAGCAGCACCCAGAATTCAGGCAGGGGTGCAGGTAGACTGTGAGGCTCAGGTAGCCTTTCATGGCTGTGACTGTGCTGTTAATAAAGGCTTAGGTTTGCAAACAAGTATTTGTCATTCTATCCTTTTAATATTTGCTCTGTGTAATTGGCTCATCAAATGCAGGATTTTTTTACATAAATAGGGTTGCCCAGCTAGCTGTCTGGAGGTTTTCTTGTTTAGTGGTCTCTTACATGCTCAGTTCATGGCCAAACCACAAGGGATTCTATGAAAAAAAGAAATCTGGCAGAATAGACAGTTCAAGTAGGAAAAGGTTATTAAGCTAACAGCAAGCAGTAGATGAAACCATTCCTGTGAAAGGAATAGGCTGCTGTGCTCCTGCAACAAAACATTTTTGACCTGATGTATTATGTTCAGCAAGGTCAGCTCAGGATATTGCAAACTGCTGGGTTTGAGGCAGCAGCGGAATTCCCCCTCTAAAAACACCCCTCAAATCCAGTGAATGCACTCTTGGATCATCCTGAAATCTTACAGCAGAAACGGGGAAAAAAAAAATCCAACCAACAAAGAATCTCACTGCTACATAGCAGAGATGGGATTTTGTTGTTGTTGTTTGGGCTGGGGGAGAGAAAGCAAAGCAGACAACGCCTTGTGAGCACTCCTGTTTGTGACAAAGGCATCTCTGAGACGCCAGCATCAAGCCGAGCAGGGATAAAGAGAGGCACCTCCTCCTCCTCCTCCCCGCAGCAGCAGCAAGTGCCTCTGCATGGTGTTGACACACATTTCCCAGGCAGCAGTGGCAGCCAGGAATCACAGCCTGACAAGCGCTTTCCTTTCACCAGCAGCACTGACAGAGCATAGCATCTCCCCCCGTCCCAGCCTCCCTGCCTCTCACACACACTGCCTGCTCTGCTCTGATATTTGTGCACACAGACCAGTGCTGAAAATGGCATGAGTTACCTGGGGTCAGAACATCACAGCCAGTCTGCGGGGACCTCTGCCCTTCAGAGAGCAGGTTTTGTGAGAGAAGGATGAATAGAAAAGCTAATTTTAATGGTTAGTAATTAAATCCTGCCCTAAAACTGAAATTTCAAATTTTTTTCTCCTCCTGTTTCCAGTTCTTTTGGTCTGACCATACAAAAAAAAAAAATTTCTTTATTGCTATTCTATTTGCAGAACAGTAAATGAACAAAGGTATTCTTCTAGATTATGTGGGAAGTAAAAACTTAATTTACATGCTCAATAAGTAGAGTGCCATTAAAAATAAGTGATTTTTTAAAAGTAATATATTCCAGAATGCTTAAGTGAATGCTTGACTCTTGATTTGGAATGGTTAGGCTGGGTTCACAGGTAGCACTTCAAGGGTGTCATGAAGGAATCACTGCATTTTATCACAACTGATAAATCCAACTGATAAGCATCACAGCTTGGCTCAAGAATTTAAAGGACTGGGTACCTATACACACTCCACAAGAAAGAGAGCTCAAACATGACTTCTCCATTTGTGGGTGCACAAGTCAAGGTCTGATTCTCCGTGAATTCATTCCCAGTGTGAATGCACTGCGGCGCTTTGCTGTTATTCCCAGGCAGATAACAGGACTGCAGATCTGTTTGTAAGGCAGGGATGCTTTGGACTGAGGCCAGGTTTAAAGCATCATCACTTTCCTGTCGTTTCTCTGGACTTTGGTGCTGAACAGCAACTGCTACATCTCCTTTAGGGAAGCACTTTACATTGCAGCTCACTCCCAAACTTCCACTAGCTTTAAAGATATCACTGCCCAGTGTAAGTGGAGAGTCTCTTCCTCTAAGGTGGTGAAACCATTCAACAAAATGCAATTTCATGTAAAAGAGGCACAGCAATATCAAGTGCACATAAGTAAAGGCCAGGCAAACCCACGAGCCTGTTTCAGAGCAATGCCCCAGTCAGACAAATGGAGCCACCCTGCTCCTGGGGAACACAAGAGAGGAACTACAGTAGACTTCAATAACTTTTCTTCTTTTACCAGATGGAAGTAATTTGTATTTAGGGGCAAACAATCATTTCAACAGCGATGTTGGCTTGGGCCCTCTTGGCTGACCCCAGCTCCTTCCCTCTGCTTCCCATCCATGTGCTCAGGGTAAGACCAGAGCAAGCAAAGAGCCTCTGCCCTCACAAGGGAGAGCCAAAGGGGCTTGAACCTGCATCTCTGCTTCCTTCTAAGTCCCAGGCATGGAGAAAACCTAAAACTGTTGTTACCTCCTTATTTTCAATAGTGACATGCAAGCCAATTAGGTGCATAATGCTTAGAACACCACTCTTTAGCACACTGAAATTCTCAGTGTCAGATATATTTCATCACCACATTTAGATGACATGCCAAGCTTCTCATTGTCCTGAAGTCCCAATGAAAATAAAGCTACACCTATGTGTGAAGTAAGCTTTGGACTTCCCCACTGAATAAGAGATAAACTTCTAAGGACTTTTTATTTTTAATTCATCAGAATATGTGTTTCTGAAATTCTGAAAATAAAGGCTTTTAAAATCAGTTTTTCCTTTTTTTCTTCAGAACAGCTTCAGTGATTCATATTTTTGCAAATCCTATGCCTAGGAAAAGACACTTTCTCTGCAGAAAAGCTTCCCATTTTATACCCAGTTTTGTTCTTACCCTCTTTTGCCAAGTGCTGCTCTAGCCAACATAAACATCACATGACAGCCCTTAGCTGACAACAAAAATGCCAGAGATCCCCAAAGCAAACATCTACATACATTTTGGAGATACCAAGATTCAGAAATATATTGCTATTCACTTCTGGAAGTTTAACTAATATATTGCCTATTTATGGCTGATGAATAGATTGGCATAGAAATTCCATTCTTTATTTGGTTTGTACCATCAGGAGAATTACTGCTGGGTCAGGAAGGAGAATGGAACAGGAATCACAGCATCCAGCTTGGTTTTGCACATAACAGAGACACATATTCAGAATAAATTATATGTTCAAAAGCTCAGCATTAGCTGGCAGTGCCTTACAAAGGCAGTGTAAGACTGCAAAAGAAGAGAGAGGTAGTGAGGCAAAAGTGGGCAGAAATAGTTCTGGCTTCAGCAGAACAGGAGAGAACAACAATCAAAATGTCATAAAAAAGAAGGAGCAATAGTGAAGCTCTCCAAGCTGCAGCTGTCTAAAAAGTCACACACCCCCCACACCTACATCCCTGCAGGTCTTGTGGAACTCTGGGGGCTCACCTGCAGAGCAGAACCTTTGCCTCAATTCCCCAGATTTGCTCATCTCACTAAAAGAAAAATGTTTTCTTTTCAGGGCGTTTAGGACTCAGACAAATTATGAGGCCTTTCAACCCCAACAACAGAATAATGAAGAATTTGTGCAGGGAAATAAACTGTATTTTAAAGGGGAAATTACACATTTACAAAGAACTCTAAGCTCTCTAAGGTTCTGGGTAAGTTACTATTTTGCATGTAATATCTACTACCTGAAATGAATGAAAATGAAATGAAAAGTGCAGTGCAAGCCTATAGGGTGTGATCAGCATTTATTGCCAGACTATTTTCTTCATTATTATTTGTTATTCCGCAGAGTCCAAAGTGCCTGTGCTGGAATTGCTGCATCAAAGGCAATTATATCTTGCAGTGCTGTCAGGCCATACAAGGGGCCCCATGGAAGGATGTGAGAGGCACAGTGTGACACACACACACTGCAGGATCCAGAGCCCAGGGCAACGCCCTCCAGCTCGGGGAAGGAGTTACTCATGTTCCACTACCCAAATAAAGGGAAACTTGGAATGATCTCCCCCCTACTGTCTCTCTGGGTGAAGTCAAGTCATCTCTGCCAGACCTGGCTGAGCTCAGAGACTCATAAAAATACTGAGTAAATTTGTTTTTCTTGGAGCACGTGTGTTCCTGCCAAGAAGCAATGCCCTGAGCTGCTCCAGCCGTCCCTCTCCTCCCTCTGGAGCTGTGCCCTTGAGGAGGTGCACTGAGTCCCACCTGCCTGCATGCACAGCCTTGCTGCCACCAACAGAGCACCTCCAGCTCCCTGCTCTGGGGAACAGATAAAGATGCCTCCTTGGCAGGTCACACTGCCACTTCTGAGGCCACACTTCTGACTTTTCTTTAGGCAGTAAAACAGTAACTCATTTCTTACTTTAGCAAGTCTGTTGTCTTCCCACACACAGGATTTTCTTCAGGGGTAAAGGCAGGAATCATTCTGCAGCAAAGTGTTAGCGCTGGGGATGGCTCCAGTGCCTTGCCCTTTCTTCAAAAGTGATCCTGCAGGATACTTTTGCTGTTTTCCAATCTGTGAGGCATAAACCAAGGAGCTGCCATGTGAGAGAGGAGTCACATGCTCTCTCCTGTAGTGATAAATACTGAGTGCTACATGCTGCAGCTCAAAATATTCATGTGTTCACCAACTTGCTTTCTTGATGAGCAGCCTGCCTTTTTATGGGCAAGATTCTCCAAGACATCAGCAAATATCTCAGGAGAAATTAAACTAAAATACAGCAGTTACATGTAGGAGCCAGTTGGTGAGAACTCAATCCAGCTTCTACATTGATTTTCTCTGTGACCTAATTACGACATCATCTGAGAAGGGGAACCTGGGGGAAACAGCACTCAGCTGATCTTGCTGTGTGTCTCAAAATGAACTGACGGGCTCATGCAGGAAGAGGCTCCAGCTGAGCATAGGTGCAGACAAATTTATCATAATCTAGTCCAGGGAAATTCCATGAGGTGCTGCCTTTCTGTTGGGTTAGGTAAAATCTGGTGCACCTGCACAGAAATTCAGGGCATGAATATATATTTTTTTCTCAAGATATTTCAGTGTGCAATCAAACCGCATAATTCCTGGATCAAGCCTTTTAAGCAGTGTTGAGGTGAACACCCCAAGTGTGGAGACAGGAGGCTTGACTC